GATAGCAGACAGTGCCTCAAAATTACTGCTGCATTACTGTCAGGCTGCAAAGAGCCACCTCTCTCCGAGTGTGAGCTCAAACCATACCTGGAAGACATGCTCGAGATTCTGGATTGCCCACCAGGTGACTTTCTCCTGGACATTTCACCTGGCCAACCCTTTCGTTTGAAGTTGTGGCATCGTTTGTCAACATTCTTGCGCGACCCTGACGCAGATTTCCTCCTTCAACTCCCCACAGGGGTACGTTTGGGTGTCAATGAGCCACTGACTCCTTCTCCGGCATGGCCACAACACTCAGGTATGCTGCCTGAGGAGGTACCGCTCCAAGACTGTAGTGATAGCTGGAAAAGCGCTCAAGATCACCCTGAGATTGTTCAATCCCTGATTCAAGAGGAGCTTGATGCTGGCTTTATTGCGCACGTCCCAGGGGGCATTCCACAACTCAAGCAGATGCATTCCAAAACAGCCATAGGCAAGCTTGGAGTGGTTCTTGCACCTGGTCGCTCGCCTCGCTTGGTAGTTGACAGCTCTATCAGCATGGTGACGGCCAATACTGTGCTACCTAACCATATGCTCTTGCCACGTATATCAGATGTCATCCAATGTGCCCCTGACAGCATGGCGAGTCAACAGATGACACAACTCACCCTGGATGTGGCGAAAGCTCATCGCAGAATCTTGGTTCATCCTGACGATGGCGGCCTCCTTTGCTTTCATGCAAATGGGGAACTGTACAGATGCATTACTCTCAACTTTGGTGCTCGTGCAAGTGGCTGGTATTGGGGGCGATTGGCGGGCATAATGGTGCGGTCTTGCCATTCACTATATTGGCCCACGGGCATGCTCTTTGGCAGTATGTTGATGACCTTCTCGCCTGGTTGGACAAGGTTTCGTCCCCCTTGTGGGCTTCATTGCTTGTGGTTCTACTGCTGATTCTGGGGGCGCCCATGTCTTGGCATAAAGCAGCGCTGTCAGACACTGTGGATTGGATTGGCTGGCGAATTTCAGTCGCCTACTGGACGATTGAAGTCCCCATTGAGAAAATGGAGCGAATCACAGCTCAAATTCAGTCCATCCAACGTTCAGAACGTCTGACGCTACGTGATATGCAGTCGCTGGTGGGACGCCTCTTGTGGTTGACGTCGGCGTGGCGATACCTACGCCCACTCCTCATCCCACTGTACAAAGTTCTGCATCGCATCCCCACCCCATTACTATGGTGGGCATGGATCACGTGACGTTTCAGACACTGACTGCTCATTTGGATGACCAATTACAACTGTGCACTCCATTGACCCGCAAGCATCAATCACTGAGAAAAGGGATTACATTGTGTCGTGTGGCCAATACCAATGTCCACACATTGAAGCAAGTCCAACTGATGCATATCAAATCCCGTCGCGTTTGGGTAGGCCTTTCTGATCCTTCTACACCAAACCGTAAACTGGATGATGAAGCAGCTGAAACCCTCAAAATATGGCTGCAGTTGCTGACTTCGACGCTTTCATTGACGATGTGCCATCCAGATTGGATTCAAGTCCATGCTACGGCTGATGCTATGGCCTCGCAATCCCTGGCAGGGCTCGGTGGTGCAGCCATTTTCCCAGACGGGTCTTCAACTTGGTTTCAGTTTCGCATCTCACTTGCAGATGCTCAATCGCTATGGCCGTGGCTAGGTGATGACATGCAAAAGCACATTGCAGCTTGGGAACTTCTTGCGCAGTTTGCGTTATCCTACTGCATTGCCACCCACTTGCCCTGTACACGTGGTCCAATTGCATGTCATCAAGCCACAGACAATAGCGCAGCCGATGCAGCCTCTGCCAAAGGTCTCACTATGACCCCAGCCCTTGCAGCAGTGCTGACTCCATATTTTCAATTTATGCGGCGACATCAAGTGTATCCTCATATCACGCACATCCCGGGTCGATTGAATGTGTTGGCAGATGAATTGAGTCGCTTCAAGGAACCACTCTCCGCTGCCGTTGATCCAACGTCGCAGCAGTCTATCCCTTGGATTGAGCTGCTGCAGTCATCAGGTATTGAGATTACCCAAACTGGTCGAAAGTGGCCTTCTCATTTTGACATTCACCTGCGAGAAAAAGGTCTGCTGCAGTCCGCTGACTGGGTGCTTCCATCGATTGGTTTTTGGGGAGTTCTCACTCCGGCTGGTCGATGGTCGAGTTATTTGGTGCTTTTAGAACTCCCCGCCTCTACTGGTTGACCCCAACATACCCCGGTGTTTGGGTTGTTGACTGGTGTCAGTTTGAATGGGGGTCTGTTTCGAGGTCTTGCTGTACCAACATTGGACCCGCTGGTTCTAATACATTGCTGTACAGATTGGACCTTTTCTGCACCACGCTTAAAACAGAAAGCACCTGCGCAGCAGCCTTGCCACACATGTTTGGAATGTCATGTACATAATCTACACTAAGGGAAACTGAAGCAACGGAAGCTGTAGTGTGAACTTTCGAATTTATTTCCATGTTTCTCCCATTGTACCATCATTGATGCTACGCTCTAAGAACTTCTCTTCAATTTTCAAACATGTTTGATGTTACGCTCTAAGATATTCTCTTCAATTGTCCAACATACTTGAAGCGACGTTCCAAGATCTTTACTTCAAATTTGAAACATCAGTGATGCTACACGCCAAGATCTTCGCTTCAAATTTTCCAACATCATTGACGCGACCATCATCAATGCTGCGCTCTAAGATCTTCTTTTCAAATGTTGAACATCACTGACCCTTGGCTCGACGATCTTCTTTTCAATTTTGTACAGTAACATCATTGATGCTACGTTCTTGGATCTTCTCTTCACCTTTCTATTATCATTGACGCTACGTGCCAAGGTTTTCTCTTGTATTTTCTAACATGCCACGCTCTAAGATCTAATCAACTTTCAAACATTTCGTCATCATTGATGCTATACTCCAAACATTCTACCATGAGTGATTCTACGGTCTAAGATCTTCTCTCGAATTTTCTCACATTCTACCCTGATTCATGCTAGCTGCTACCCTTCAAGTTTTTAGCAAAGTTGTTGCTACGCTCTTAGATTTTCTCTTTGATTTTCCTACATAGTACTGCCTTGATGCTGTAAGTTTTTTCTTTCATTTTTTTAGCATCATGGACCGTCTAAAGTGTTCTCTTCATCAACTTTCAAACATTATACCATCACTGACGCTACGCTCTAAGATCTTTTCTTCAGTTTTCTAACATACTTGACGCTACGCTCTGAGATCTTCCATCATTGGAACTATTCTCCAAGATCTTCTTTTTAATTTTCTCCCGTTCTACCACCGTGGATGCTACGCCCCAAGATCTTCCCCACGCTATGGAAGACATGGGTGGCATATGGTTTGCCACATGGTTTCGTGAGGCACAATAAAATCTTACCTATCCAACCTTCAAACTAGAAAAAAAACCTTTCCAGCAAAACCGTTTTTTTCAAGATGCCAACTCTGCCATGTATTTCTACCAGCAAGCAGCCACTCGCAGCCACTCGCAGCCACTCGAGTGGCCGCAAGTGGCTGCAAGTGGCCGCTCCAAGCGAGTGGCCGCAAGTGGCGGCCGCAAGTGGCCGCAAATGGCTGCTCCAGCCAGCTCCAAGCGAGTGGCCGCAAGTGGGCGCAAGTGGCCGCGAGTGGCCGCAAGTGGCCGCTCCCAGCGAGTGGCCGCAAGTGGCCGCAAGTGGCCGCTCCCAGCGAGTGGCCGCAAGTGGCCGCAAGTGGCCCCAAGTGGCCGCTTTCGGCGACTTCAATTTCCACACTCAAAGCAACCCCCCTGAATTTTACTCACACAAGGGCGCCCTTGCTGAAATAGAAGGCTCGGGTTTCCCCGGTTCTTCTCCTAAATTGTGGTTCCTCCATTTTTGGGCACTAAATTGTGGTTCAAAGGGGGGCCCTGTTTCTGAGACTTAGAAAAACAATTTTTGAGTAGGAGCGTCCTATTGAAATTGATCCGTTTTGAATGATACATAATGATACTCTTTCACCAGAAAATGGGGTACCATACTTGATGGCAATTCTTGAAAGGGACTGGTTCACACGGTGGCGCCTCTTCGAGATCCAGAGAATCAATTTTTGTGTCGGAACGTCGTTTTGAAATTTAATTATTTTGAATGGAAATCGTTCATTTTTTGGGTAATCCAGTTGATTTTCCCAACATGTGAACCTCAAATCTTAACATAGAAAAAATATAGACCCCATGTGGTTGTTTTTTTCCAAATTAGATTAAAACCCTTGACCGCAGGTGCCATGTTAAGAAAGGTTTTTTTCGTTTTTCGAGGTGTATGTTATTTTGCAAGGGTGTACTCAAGTTTGTACTTGGGGAATGGATGTAAAACCCGGGGAAAAAACTAACCAGGTGCCATGCAATGTATGTCCATGGGCAAGTATGATGATTTTTGATGTGGTTATAATTTGGTCTTTGGTCATTTTGTGCCGCAAAAAAAAACGTGGTGATTTGGATGCGTAAGAATCTGTTGAACTTCAATTGGTCGATCAAAATGATTTGCAAAATTGAGCTGAAGGCTGAGGGTTTCAATATAGCTGCCCGAAATCTCCATGCAACCCTTTGTAGGACATGAAGTGTAAGGCGACATGGGGTTGCAAAATGTTTTTGATGAATGAACAACATTTGCCAACAACAGATGATGGTGCAAAATTTTGTTTGAATTCCAAAAAACTCAGACTCGTGCAACACTATTTTGCAAGATGGCAAATTCATGAATCACACATTTTTTGGTAAATAACAAGTGCATGCTTGGCAATGGGCGTGTGTTGCCCAAAAACTGATGTTGGCCATGTTGGCACTAACGAATGGCGACGAGATCAGGCACGGTGAAACCCTTTGTTTTTGGACACAAAACATTTGCATTCATTTGAAAAATATGATGCGAATCATATTCCGATTGCAGAACATTTTGCTGCATTTGCATTCCGGAAGGCACCAGAGCCAGCCATGCAAGGTTCCTTGTGGATTGTTGCACACATTATGTGGAAGTTCGTGGATAGCAAAGGTCTGTCATGTTGCTTGTGTGTTGCTTTGACATGGCAAGGTTTGCACAATTGGGAAGGCAATGAAGATCCGCAAACTTCGAAAATTGCTGAGTACAGCACCGGGAGCTGGCTACGGCAATACTCGCGTGAATCTAGCAAGGCAGGTTCAATGCTCGGTCGACAAAAACTGCAAGTGCTGATGTGACATTGAGCGACTGACACTCCAAACAACTGTTGGAAACTGATGTCGCTGTCTCAAGGCAACTGACGATCCAAAATTAGATCGCAGCATCACAAGCGTCTCCTTCAAGGTGTGCCTGTGCACTTGGAAAAAAATTGGAACATTGTTCACAATGGTTAATAGTGGTTAGTAAATCCATCAATAAAATAATGATTAACAATGTGGGCGGAATGGTGGGGGGAGGGGGATGGGGATGGGAACGTCCTGCCAACGGTGGACCATCTTTTCTGCTTGAGGAGGACGATGTTTTGCAGCTCTTCCGAAAATTTGATGCAAACAGGCCTGGTACATCCTGGTACAATTGTTGCTTGAGCCTCACTATTTGGTATGGACAGAATGTTGATATGTTTGCCAGGGATGACAGTGTCAGCCAAGAGGAGACTTGCAATGTGCGCGATCCGCTATCAGCGTTTTTTGAAACACTTGAGATCAACACTTGATCAGCAAAATGGGTGTGTCCGCAAATGGGGTTGTTAAATGGCCAGTTAAGATCCGGGAAAACGACCATGAAACCTGCTGGATTTATCGTCCCGATTCCTAAATTTCCAAAACCAAATGGTTTTTATGAGTTCGGCGTATTTGCACAGGAGCTTCTTGCCGTATTACAGCAACTTTCAGATCCAGCGGACACCAGAGGTGGGAAAGTCGGATTCGAACCTGCAAGCGGCGTTCCGCCCGTTCGTTTGTCTCATCTAGTCTTTTGAGAGTCGACAGCGAGTCTCACAAAGAAGTGATATTAATCAACAACAATAGAAATATTCAGGAATGAAAAATGATTTAGTCAGGAACGATGGCACATTTCTCCAGGTGAAAGGCTTGAGGAGCTGCTGGCACGGATCGACACGAATGGAGATGGTATGATTCAGTTGGAGGTGCGAAAAGACGATCAATTTGCTGAATTTTGCAGACGAATGAGACATGCTTATGATTTTCATACTGTGTAGAGCTGTGTGACAGGTCGCACTTGATATGAAGTGAATGGAAACCATGGTGGATGGCAGTGTAAACCCAGTAGATAGAGGTTTGTCCGGCAACAAGTAAAAACATTGCAGGAATGCACAGCAAATCAAGTGCAATCAAACCACGGACTCCAGAGGAGTTCATGGCCTGGTGTTGCGCAAGTGGCGATGTTTGGAAAAAACTTCGATGGTCATGTTCCTTGCTTCAATACTCATGGAGATCCATGGAGTGGATATGAGTGGATCATGTTTCACTCTGTGTCTCTTGACGAACCTATAGGGTTGCGTTGCGGCGTTGTTTGATGTTTCAGACATTGCAGAGTTGTTGGCTCCAAGGTTTTCACGCAGCTTGGTTTGCAAGCGGTGACTGTCTTCACAGTTTTTAAGTCTGGGCATTCGGTGAAAGAGGAACTTTTTCTCGTCGTATTTCTCTGGTTTCTGTTCTGCGAAACTGAGGCTGTCCGAGCTGAAGCTGCTCGCCTGTCAACGAACAAACATTTCCCTGCCAGGCAGAACAAGGGTCTTATATAACACGGAAGCAAGTGGGGAAAAAACTGTTGTCATCACAGTACATTTCTTGGTGACTCTGAGTTATTTTTCCCTTCTTTACTGTTGAGTAGCTGTCGCAGGAACAAGAACAAAATTTCGCATTTTCCCTGGGTCGAAGAGATCCTCCGGATGATTGTGGAAGGCAAGTGCAAGGTGCAGCTCGTTTGGGTTGAGATGCTCGAGTCTCATAAACAATCACAAAACTCCAGGACAAGGTAGCCAAAATTCAGTTCCATCTGTTTTATGTTTGTATTTTCTCAATTTTTTTCCCGCCCTACTTGGTCGCTTTTGGACGGACACTTCGCCTGCCATCTTCAGGGCATTTCGACCATCAAGGAGACCGGTGAGCAATGCACTCCCCTGTTGCTTGTGGCAGGTGAGACAGGGGACATGGTTTCATAATGATCATATTTACACTCCATAGTTAGAGGACTATGCGGACTATGCAGGACCATGTCAATCTGAAGCCTTAGTGGAGATTTTCTCAAGCATATCCCAGTATGTTCCAGCTACTGTACATTATGAATATGATATATATGTACAGATTATGTTAGTATTTATATGTATAATATATATATACACATATTGATTCATCAAAGGAAGTTTATAAGTCTAAACCCTGTTATACAGAAAATATGATCAAAATAAACATGTGGACAATCACAACAATACATAATCAGAACAATACATCATCACAACAATACATAATCAGAACAATACATAATCAGAACAATACATAATCACAACAATACATCATCACAACAATACATACTCACAACAATACATTACATAATCACAACAATACATCATCACAACAATACACACCAACAACAATACATAATCACAACAATACATCACCACAACAATACATAATAACAACAATACATCACCACAACCATGCATTATCACAACAACACATAACCACAGCAATACATCATCACAACAATACATCGTCACAACAATACATCACCACGACAATGCATAATCACACAATACATAATGACAACAATACATCACCATAACAATACATCACCACAACAATACATACTCACAACCATAGCATCAACACAACAATACATCATCACAACAATACATCACCACAACAATGCATCATCACAACAACACATAACCACAACAATACATCATCACAACAATACAGAATCACAACATTTTATAATCACAACAACACATCATCACAACAATACATCACCACAACGCAATACATAATCACAACAATACATCATCACAACAATACATAGTCACAACAGTACACAATCACAACAATACATCACCAGAACACTACATCATCACAACAATACATCACCAGAACACTACATCATCACAACAATACATCACCACAACAATACATCACCACAACAATACATCATTACAACAATACATCAGAGAGTAGAGATGTGCAGACAGTAGGTATGTGGAGAGAGTAGAGATGGGAAGAGAGTGAGATGTGAAGCGAGTAGAGATGGGAAGAGATTAGAGGTGTGCAGAGAGTAGAAATGTGAAGCGGGTAGAGATAGGAAGTATGATGCTGTATTGTGACGACGGAAAGCGTTGGAAACGCTGAGACGTTTATCGGCGGCAGCCATGGGGGGGGGGGGGGGGGGCAGGGTGATTTGCAGACTTTTGGGGGTCAAAATCGGTGTTGGAAATGTGCAAAAAACACTGTAAATTACAGTAAAAACTGCTCTTTGGGGAGAATTACAAGGAGTCAAGTTGCTGCATCGCGCAACATGCCCCAAGATAGGCCAACACAGAGCCAAGATGGCCCAACATAGAACCCAGGAACGCCCAACATAGTCCCAAGCTGGGCCAACATAGGCCCAAGACGACCCAACAAAACCCAACATAGTCCCAAGATCCGAGATAGAGCCAAGATGGCCCAACATACAACCCAGGAACGCCCAACATAATCCCAAGATGGGCCAACATAGGCCAACAAACCCCAACATAGCCTCAACAAGTAGTCCCAAGATGCTCCAACATAAACCCCAAGACGGCGCAACATGCCAAGCAAAGAAGCACCAACAACATCAACGAGCTCACAACAACCTCTAAGACAACGAGAACGGAAACAAGACAACCAGAAGCACAACAAGAACACCAGCAAGAACAAGATTGGCACCAACATAGTCCCAAGATGCACCAACATAGACCCAAAATAAAGTGAACGTCAACCCAACAGTAAAGGGAGAGGACGGGGTAGGTGAGTGCCGGGGCCCGTTTTGACGAATGTTTGGCCGCTGCATCCACTTGCATAGACCCAAAATATAGGCTTATATTGGGCCACTTCGGGCCTTACCCTCTGCCCCCTTGCTGACTCGCTTTCCGTTTTCTTCCGGACTGGTTTGCAGGCCAGTGATTGCAGATCGCAGTGGAATTGCCGCGTGAAGGTGATGTTTGGAGGTTTGAAATTGAACGAAACCATGTGTTTTCTCGCATAAAGTGGCTCCCGGCGTCCATGCGGGAACCTCGTTGTGCGACGGGTGCGGCTGGCGCTGGTTTGCCGCTCGAGTGTTCCCCACTGTCAGCGCTGCGCGGAGGTGTTTTTTAAAGATGCGCTGTGCCATTGTGTTTGGTGATCCAGGCTTGCATTTTGCAGCGGAATGGCTGCTCCAACGGTTTGTCCAGGTTATGCTTGGGGGGTAGGAATCGCAGGAAACCCTGTGTTTATCGCGGAAAGTGGCTCCTGGCGTTGATGTGGGGAACCTTGTTTGTGCGACGGGTCCGGTTTGCGTTCTGCGCTCAAGAGTGCTAGAGAGGAGCGATGTGAAGAAAAAAAGGTGTGACGAGAATGTGGATGTGAAGAGAGTAGGGATGTGAAGAGAGTAGAGATGTGAAGATAGTAGAGATGTCAAGACAGTAGAGATGTGAAGGCAGCAGAGATTTGATGAAGAGCTGAAGAGAGTTGGGAAGTGAAGAGAGTAGGGAACTGAAGAAAGTAGCATCGAAGGGAAACAGCAGCGAAGAGCATACGGGGGTGAAGAGAGAAGGGAAAGAAATAACTTGTCAGGAGAGGAGAGTGTGTCAGGCCCCAGGCTTGTGAGCTGTCAACAAGAAACAGGCTGTCAAAATTCAGACATGACAAGCGCAGACTGGATGGAGAGAAAGTGCCATCATCAGAAGAGGAAGTTGAAAGAGAAATGTCAAGGAGAAAAAAGAGGTCGAGACAAACAGCAGGCAACAGGAAGGTTTGTCAAGATTCAAAGATGACAAGCGCAAACCAGATCAAGAGACAGTGGCATCATCAGACAAAGATGTCGAGAGCAAGAAATGTCACGGACAAAGGCTTCCAAGAGATCACGCAGTCGACCGCCATGCCAGCCAGGCGGCCAGGGGCCGTTCCTATAGGCTCTCCCTTGTCTTTATAGGTCTTTATAGGTTTTTTCCTTCTCTCGAAACTTCCGTCACCCGGCTTGCGCGGGCTCTACTTGTATTGATTCTAATGTTGATATAGTCTGGAAGGTTTTGCAATTTTTTTGCTACATTTGATGTTGCTGCCGTTTTCTTTTCTCTGTACCAGGTACAGGCCACATGACGGCCATGTCCGTATTTTTGTTCCCCATGTCTGAAAATAGCAATAAGGGGTAGTTTATACCACCCATAAAAATGGTGATGTTGGGGATGGTTTAGTCAGTTTACCACATTAAAATTTACTGTGCAATTTTCATTCCATTTGAAAACGGTGGGTGATGTGCGGAGATCAGTGCTGTACAGCCTGTGCAGGCGCATGCCCAAACAGCATCTGCGGGATGCAGGCTGTGATGTTCGCTCAGGCAGACTGGGAAAAAAGTGCGAAATTGAGCCAACATATTCCACCTGAAGATTTTAGTCGAATGAACCATGATTCATGGGGTAGTTGGCGTGCCGTTTTGCAGGTCAAAGCGGGCATTGAATTTTGGTGGACAAAACCACAAGCGACATGGAGATGTTTAGTAGTGGCATTCGTCAAAGTCAAAGTGATGTGTGCAGTGTTTGCATTCTGTCCACACAAGCAATTGCAGCGGAAGTGAGCATACGCTGTAGTTGCTGAGGCGGACGTTCCACGCAAGCTTGATCGACATACACTGGATCTGCACAAAGAGGTAACTGGCTCTGATGTCTTTGTTTTTTTCGCTTCGCGGTCCACAGTTGCGGACACTTCTGACGAGCTGCCTCACAAATCCTAGCTCTTTCATTGCCACATTTCACAAAGCAGAAATCACAAACAATGGATGATGGTGCATGGTTGTTCTCCTTGTTCTCTGCTATCAAAAGCCTTGTCCAGGGCCCTCACAGAAATACGACCTCAAAGTCAAGGGCGCTGTATCAACCACTTGCAGATAAGTTCAAGGGAAGCAAAGACACTTGGCAGTTGCAAGAAGGGGCTGAAGACACATTCTGGGCAGATGTATCTGGAAAAAACTCCGATGCAAAGAGTTTCTACTGTTCTTTTTTTGATCTACCATGACCTACTATGATCTCTATGATCTACTATGTTTTTATGATCTACTATGATCTACTGGATGTTTCGATTGATTGCTGAAGAACTGTGACAGCGACAAACCATCGATTGAGCACAAATTTCGTGCATGACAGTGCCAACATCTGTGGATTGTGTTCTATTTTGCCTCGTGTCACCAAGGAAGACATTTTTGAGTTTGGAGTTGATACAAATGGGCGGGCATTTATTGATGAAAAGACGGCAGATGGATGCCGGCGCATGCTTCTCTACTTTGTTTGGCAGGACGAGTTGGTAGACAATCAAGAGACGAAGGACACACAAGAACACATTTTTGGCACTTGCTCCGAGCACTTCGCCGCAGGAGAATTGGAGCAGTTTTTTTGCATACAACAAGTTCATAGAGGCCAGCTAGAATCCAATGACACTCCATTCTCTTCAGGAAGAAACCTCGAATCAGAAACTTCCCGCGAATCAGAAACAAAGAATCAGAGACTAAAACCTGCGAATCAGAAACTAAAATCCGCGAATCAGAAACCAAAATCCCACGAATCAGAAACCAAAAATCGCGCGAATCAGAAACTACAATACAGGAATCAGATACAAAACCCCGCGAATCAGAAACTGAGAATCAGAAACTAAAACCCGCGAATCAGAAACTAAAATCCACGAATCAGAAACCAAAAGCCCACGAATCAGAAACCAAAAACCGCGCGAATCAGAAACTAAAATACAGGAATCAGATACAAAACACCGCGAATCAGAAACTGAGAATCAGAAACTAAAAATTGCGAATCAGACACCAAGATCCGCGAATCAGAAACCAAACAAGCCCACGAATCAGAAACCAAAACAAACGAATCTGAAACCAAACCTGCCACTCCCTCTGAACATTTTGTTGAATGAGATATTACCGCCAACTTATCCACATATGGGATCAAATCCGACACCCCCTCTGACCATTATGTTGCATGAGATATTACCTTCAAAGTATCCTCATAGGGGATCAAATCCGGCACCCCCTCTGACCATTATATTGAACGGGATATTACCTTCAAAGTATCATAAGGGATCAAATCCGGCACACCCTCTGACCATTATGTTTAATGAGATATTACCTTCAACTTCCTTTTGTAAGGTATCAACCCCCCCCCTCTGAACACTTTATTGAATCGGATATTGCCTTCAACTTGTCTCCATAAGAAATCAAATCCGCCACCCCCTTTGGCCACCTTGTTGAATAAGATGTTACCTTCAACTTGTCTTCATAAGAAATCAAATCCGCCACTCCCTCTGGCCACTATGTTGAATACATTTGAATAGGATATTACCTTCAACTTCTCTTTGTAAGGTATCAAATTCCGCCACCACCTTGGATCACCATGTTGAATGGGACATTACCTTTAACTTATCTTCATAAGACATCAAACCTGCCACTCCCTCTGGCCATTATGTTGAATGAGATGTTGCCTTCAACTTATCCACGTATGGGATCAAATCCGGCACCCCCTCTGACCATTATGTTGAATGAAGTATTACCTTCAAAGTATCCTCATACTGTAAGGGATCAAATCCGTCGCCCCCTCTGACCATTATGTTGAATGAGATATTACCTTCAACTTCTCTTTCCGATTGAAGGAGACAAGTTGCTCATTCTGATTGGTTCAGCTGGTTTAGTTTCCGATTCTCCGGTTTTAGTTTCCGATTCACCTGCTTTAGTTTCCGATTCACCTGCTTTAGTTTACGATTTAGCTGTGGTTGCCGATTCCAGGGTTTTGGTTTACGATTCATGGCTCTTAGTTTTCGATTCACGGTTTTAGTTTCCGATTCTTTTGGTTTCGGATTAACAGGTTTTAGTCTCCGAGTAACGGGTTTTGGTTTCCGATTCACGGGTTTTTGTTTCCGATTAACGGGTTTTAGTTTCCGATTAATAGCTTGACCTCTCTTCAGAAACTGGTGTCACTTTTGTGGTTGCACATCTTCAAGCATCATCCCAGCTGACATGCATCTTGGTGGAATCCTTTTTCTTGAAGTTACAGCATTTGATATTTGGACACATCAAAAATATGATATATGATATTTATATGATATATGATATTTAAATAATATATGATATTTCAATAATATATGATATTTAAATGATATATGATATTTGAATAATATATAATATTCAAGTAATATATAATATTTATGTTACATATAATATAATATAATATAATATATATATATATATTATATTATATATTATATATTACATATTATATATATATATATATATATGATATATATTATATAATATATATATAATATGTAATATATATATATATATAATATTTAATACATACAATATATAATGTATAATGTACAATATACAATATATAATATATAATATATAATATATAATATATAATATATAATATATAAAATATAATATATAATATATAATATATAATATATAATATAATATATATATAATATATATATATAATATTATACATAGTAAATAACATTTAATATATGACACAACTCATGGAACATGATAGGGCATTATTTTGGAGAAACCAACAGAGTGAATCTTGGTGAACGGTGCATCACATGTCTTGACAATTTGCATCAATTGAGAAAAGTTCTCTTGAATCTTGAGGTGAAGGAACGATACTGAAGATTAGCATGGCATGTGAATTTTGTGGAGTGGAACAGGCGCATGATCATGGTGACTTTGTCGGTGAAATTTTGGTTCGTAGCCGACGTCAAGTGACTCAGCAAAACAAATGTCGCTGAGGACTTTCTTGGTTTTGTTTGCACAACCTTGTTGAGGATCAGATCCCAAGTTGTGACATGTGTTAAACAAAGTCACCTGTGGGGATCAGATTGCTCCTTCCAGGAGCCACAAGGCCCCACCAGCTGCTGCATTCAGTATGTGGTTTTCACTGGGACAATGCTGAAGCAGGCACCATTCGCATCCTCACCAACTGTGACTCGTTGCCAATTGGTCGCCTCATGAGAAATCTTACCTGGCCGAGACAACTAACAATTGAAATTTTTGAAATGCCCCTGTACCACCAGGCTTGTCAACATTTTTCACCAGAATCATCAAGAGCACGCCCTCCTCCTCAGAGGAGCAGGAAGCGAGAGATTATTTCCTCGTACGTGTTTCTTTGGCTTATGTTTCAGCGTTTGCTGTCCTGGAAGCCAACCAACGCCAGATCCGTGAACTCGAGTTTCAAGTGCATTATCTTCAGCAGCGACTTTTAGCCATTGAAAACCATTTAGTGAACGGTGCTCCCTTGCAACTCCCCGCGGCACCAGCTTTGATTTCTTGAGATTTTTGGACAGGTGATGATGCCAGACAAGAGTAGCAGATCCTTAACTGACACTGCATTTTCGACGCTTCCTTTTCTCCATATTCACCTCAGACCTCGTGTGCACCCCGCGGAACAAAAAGCTGAGCAAGTGCTCGCGTCCACTTTTTTCCAGGGTATAGCGCAGTGGCCACAAACACTTGCCAAGTGGCATTGAATTGATCGTCAAGTCGTCGACACATAGCACATTAATTGTGTAATTATCTGAATACATGTGTTAGCATGGTACATGTCACGTGGTCTGAGCGCTCGTGAGTCACACAGAGCTGCATTTCAAAGGAGAATTGGTGGCATGTTGAATGACAGCAGAGACTTGCAGTTTCAAGGTCAAGGTCAGATATGCACATTGACAGACAGATTAGTTTTTGGGACGTCAGCTGCCAAGTGGCACTGTATTGGGCATGAGCAGAAACCTTGAATTCATGTGTCCAATTGGCTCCAGGTGCAGGTGCGCTGGTCAGATAGGGCATTTGGCCCCATCACGACATATTGAAGGCAACGAGTAACGTTTCGTTCGGTCGAGCCAGGTTACGATTGTCCCAATTCACCCACAAGTATCATATAACCTCCAGAATTGATAACCAAGTAGTTACATACAACTTCAACAGTTTGCATCTGCGTAGTGACATGGGCCCGGGGAATGATGTTCAAGATGGTGAGAGAAGCTCGTTGAACTCTGAGATAGTTCGACAGCCATTGCCTGAGAACATAGATGATCAATGGATTTTTGGCCCGCATAGAAGGCCTTGAACTGGTCGGTGATGAAGATTATGGAGAAGCCGCAGAGGCTAGAGTAGAAAGTGGTATTGCAGCGCGAGAAGAGCCCATGACTGACAGAGAGGGACGGCGCTTGACAGACGTGATCGTTGATGCCTGTCTCAGGACGCCGCCATCCATAGCAGTTAAGCTGCCGTGGGAGGAAGGCGTCCTCAGCCAGGTTTTTGGAGAGAGCGATGGGTTACCTGAGATCCCACAGCCGTGCTTGGAAGCCATTGAAGTCACAGAAGAGACCCGGAGTGCGCCGAAGCAACCTTCGTCTTCTGCATCCGGCAGGGGCGGAGGCAGCAGAGGCGTATTCTTGGATGTTTTTCAATGACCCTCAGTGAGCCCCAGCGCACGGGATAGAGGTCAATTGGACTAAACGATCGGTGACATCCACTGAAGCGGGTAAATGGCTTAGACAACTTCTTTCAAAGAAATTAAATCCCCATAGAGTATACATTCCTTGAAAGCGACCCCACTTTCTTGGTGTGCTAAGGCAGGCCTCACTCCAGAGGAAAGGTTGTTGCTAGGTCATCACGCTTCGGGCAAAAAGTCCGCAGATGCGTATGCCCGTGATGTGCTGCTTCGCCTTTGAGGAGCTTCGAAAACTCAGTACCAGGCACCAGAAGCATCCGAGCACGATGACGACGACGCGTCATCATCCACTTCATCCGAGAGCGAAGAGTTTCATGAGATCCCTCTGGCTGATGACGCCATTCCAGGCGACCCTCAAGCCAAGCCATCTGAATGGCACCCTGACCTGGTGGACCTTGGATATGCCTGGACATCCCGGGAGCCTTCACAGCACCATGTCCCTCTGCCAGTACCTATTTTACTTGGTATGATTTCTGTCTTGTTGATGTGGGGGTGGTTACAATTGGCAGGGATTCTGGCGCTTGGTTTCGGAGGTAAATGCGCTTCGCACTGAGTTGCTGTTGCCAAGGGATTCAGCGAATTTTGTGCTGCTGACAATGAGGGAGCCAAAATCAAGGTTTACCTATGCGAAGGTTGACAGTCATGATTTGGTGGCAATCGTTGATCTAACATTTCGGGAGCTCAAACCACATAACAGGTTGTGGCCCTGCAGCTCTCAGACTCTGCGAAGCCGCTTTAAATCTGTACTTTCAGCTTTGGGACTCCCAACAATGAGCACCCTGGAACAAATGTCTGGACATGGGCAGTTTACGCTCAGGCTGTGCCACATTCATCATCCTCACCACAGAGAACGGTGAGCTCTGCCGGCGCAGAGGCAGGTGGGCCAACTTCAAAATGATGGAAGTTTACGTGCAGGAATGTATGGCACTGCAGTACACGACTAAAAGAATCCCAAATGACACAAGGGAGCACGTTGTTTACCTGGCAGGAGCTTTTCAGATGACGCTTGACAAAGTCAGCAATTTTTCGACATGCAAAAATCCCTGAGAATTTATGGTTCTTTTTGTTTTCCCGGTGAAAGATGACTTTGAGTAGGACAAGGGGCGTTGAAAGTAGGAGACAATTACTATGGCAGCATGACAATGATTTGGAATGTGTGGAAGGAGGTGCAGGCCAATGACAGGCCCCACATACAGCACCAACCATCCATCACCTTCAATGTCATGCCGCCCTGTGAGCTACTCGGAAACAGCTGGAAGGAAAAATCAGAGACCGCTTGCGCTGATGACAGTATCTGTGGCTGTGGGCGACTTTTTCCGCTCAAGAACGGCCCAGCCCTACTTTGTGATGCCCGCCCATCACCGGGAAACAATTACTATGGCAGCATGAGGATAATTTGGAATGGCTGGAAGGGAAAATGAGAGACCGCTTGCACTGATATATATATATATATATTTAAGGTATACGTAAATATTATTTTTTAATATGGTAAATATTTTATATTATAATGTACTATAATATTATTTTAGATATAATAAGTGTATTAAAATGTAATATTATATTCTATTATATATATATTACATTTTTATTTTAAATTAGATTAATTGTATTGTATTGTAATTGTAATTGTACTTCTAATTGTAATTGCAATTGCAAGTGTGTTGTATTGTCTATGTATATATATATATTTATTTATTAACTGTGGCTTCGCGGGTAGAAGTCCACAAAGGTAGTGAACCCCGTCACGACAATCTTTGGTGGTTTTGGGGCCCACCCCAAGAAGGAAAACACCTCCTTACAGGGCACCTAATCCGGACCCCCTGGGCGTTGTTACACTTCTTGATGTGGGCAGCCCTCTGCCAGTGGCCGCGCTTGTTTTGCCCCTTGTGGCCTTGAGCCAAATCGTCAGTGCGATCCGTGCATCCAAGGTCTCATTCTGGTTCATCAAAATGACATACATGCATACATGCATACATGCATACATGCATACATGCATACATGCATACATGCATACATGCATACATGCATGCATGCATGCATACATGCATACATGCATACATGCATACATGCATACATGCATACATGCATGCATGCATGCATACATGCATACATGCATACATGCATACATGCATACATGCATACATGCATACATGCATACATGCATACATGCATACATACATACATACATACATACATATGTATATATCTACATATCTATATATCTATACATATATTTATATATATATACGTATATATATATACACACATATATATATATATACGTATATATATATATACGTATATATATATGTATATGATATACATGTATATATATATACACATATATATATATACAAATATGTATGTATATATGTATATATAACATATTTATGTATATATATATGTATATATATATATATTTACGCATATGTATATATATATATATATCAATGCGCATATATATATATATATACACGCAAATATATATATATATACATGCATGCTTCGTCATTGCACCGACACTTCTTTCTTCCATGTCTCAGTGTACACGCTTGATCTTGCTTAGTGTGACCATTTTTGACTCGCCATTGCTGCGGCTTGGGAAGCTGGCAGGGCAAGTTGTTCTATCAGCGTGGACTGCCGTGGGATGAGCCGTCGGTCAAAGAATCGAGCAATGGCAAATCGAAAAAGGCATCGAAGGCAGACCGGGGGGAGATACCGAAAGCATCGAGAACGACTGTGCACACCACCCGTGATTTCTTGCTCACTACTATAGATCTATACATCATGAGAGCCAGCCTCAAGGCTAGGCTGAAGTTGTGTATTCCAGAACCAAGTGGGGTGGGGGGTTAAGGTCTGGCTGCATCCGATGGACCAGAGTGTGTAGATGATGGTGATTCCTAATTCATCCGTTTTGTGTTGCTGTCTCTTGGAAGGCTGCTCCTGCGCCCTTCTTTGCCCGCCAATATCGTTTGGAAGGCGTTGCAGGGAGTCCTAATTCCTACTATTTCCCAAATCTCAACTGTTTCTATTGAAATCTCTGTTGCCTGGCAGGCGACGGGCTCAAAATTGCTGGCATCGAAACCGAAGAGACGGTGCTGACACTTTTGCCACCTGATGTGTGCCAGGATGAATTGCCGACATAATTTGCTGTGACACAACGTATGATTCCCCAGAGAAGGATTGAAAGTGTTTCAGGTAGTCAAAACTAGTCAAACTGTTGATCAGTCACTGAAGTTAGATCCAAACTTTGTGGTGTTGTTTATATCCATTATATCCCTGTTATATTTGCTTGTATACAATATAACATCTTGTAACAAGTGCTACAGTTGAAGTCTTCAGACTTGACGCAACTTTGTCCCAGGAGATGTTTAAGTTTGACACCTAGCGCGCATGCCGCCTACTGTATTCGATCAACATTCAGCATCTTCCAACATCTGAAGGTGAGTGCACATTTCTGTACAAAACGCAAAGATGATGTGCAAACCGTTTTGAAATAATTTGGCAAATTTGTTTCACCCTCGGAGCAGAAGAGTTCTCAGCAACCCTAAGAGGATGCTTGGAATCGAATTTTCATTTTGTGCCAAAGGGTTGTGCCTTGTTCAAGACCTGTAATGCCTTTCTGTTTTGTATGTTTAGTGAGTTTAGTGCAGTCTTTAAAGGAATTGGCCACATTTGGATCAGATTCACAAGGTGTGCATTTGACCTTGCTTGCAACTTTGTGTGATTGTTTTGTGGCCAAAACGGCTTAAGCATATCGGCACGCTGACCCCAGCCTCAGCCCAAGCCTGTGACGACCATAAAGGTCAACAGCTCAGGTTGCAGCTGTGTGCCACTGATGTCAGAGGTGTCTTGCGGTGTCATGCCGGTGGAGACTGGAATCACATTTTGTTATCCAGGGTGATAGGGTCTGTGCACTGTCCATGCTGGGAAAGCTTTTTCGATGCACATGAGCCACCGATACTCATCTGCCAGCCTATCAACGTAGCTTTTTGTGATCGATACTGAGGCGGATCACAGTGGCTGCCTGTTCCAGGACATCACATGACAACACACAATCTCTGCTGGTAGCATGTCAATAGGACTTTGTGAGACAGTATGATTCTTTTAAATGCTGTGTCATCCTTCCCAAGTTTCTGGCTTGCATATACCATCTTATGCCAACGTTTCAAGTGATTCGGAAGCTGCGGCTTATTGCGGCCTGAAGCCTTTGGCCGTTGAAGGACTGAGGATTTCATTAGTTGTAATTTGATCATGGAGAATGCTTGGACCTCGGCGATTTCGGTGACACATTGTGACACGCTCATGCAGAAGTCTCTTATTGCGTTGCTACAGGCTGGCTCCTGCACGCCCATTTGCCCGGGCAAGGCCACAGGGCGGTGTTTGTTCAAACTGTTTGCAACAGACACATGTGACGTCAGAACTGTCAAACTAAAAAGGTGGCCTAGGTGTATGGCAAGTAAAATTTTAACAGAAAGGACTGTTGTGGCCGCCCAAATCTCACACTTAATATGTATAAAGAATACTTCTTGTGAGATTTGGGTGTCACAACATTCCCTTCCGATAACTTGTGTTCTTGTGAGATTTGGGTGTCACAACATTCCCTTCCGATAACTTGTGTGTTGATATCTGTTCAAGCCCCAAGGATTAATCTGGATTAATCTGGGACCAAAAAAACCAAAAAACAAAAAAACCAAAAAAAACAAAAAAACCAAAAAAAACAAAAAAACCAAAAAAACCAATGTTTTCAGGACTACTTGGATCAGGGCTATCTTTAGACTAGTCTCCAAAACATTGTTTTTTTTTGTTTTTTTGTTTTTTTTGGTCCCAGATTAATCCAGATTAATCCAGATTAATCCAAGCTAATCTAAGATCATCAGATCTATTTAACTACTAATTTCCAACATGTGGTTAGCTAATTTTCTATATTCCCTGCTCATCCATCAAATATAGGCCATGTCGTTTGAATCCACAAGTAAGCATTAGCACATGGAAGTTTCCTCAAGTAAGGATCCATCAAATATATACCATATTGTTTGAATCCACAAGTAAAGATTGGCACATAGAAGTTTCTTCAATTAAGGATCCATCAAGTGACCCTCCAAACAAAGCCTGAGTACTTTATGCCAGGCGCAGGTTCATGTAAAGATCATATCATTGTCTTTTTACCATTTTGGGACCAAGCATCCATAACATTTGAAACATGCTTCTTTGTTGCAGGCAAAAACCTGGGGATACTTGAAACAGTTTTGGATTTTCCAAATACATTTTTCCAATAGTAGCTAGCACTTCAATCTCTATATGTTCACTGACAGTTTCCTCCAAAGATTCTTACTTGAGATTTACATGTGATGCTCTTGGATCTGTACAAATGCTTACTTGTGAATACAAAGAAGTTTATTGTTTTGTTTAAAACCTCTTGACTTGAGATTTACATGTGATGTTCTTGGACCTGTACAGATGTTTACTTGTGAACACAAACAGAAACTTGTATTGTCCTGCCTAAAACATCCTTACTTGAGATTTACATATGATGTTCTTGGATTTTTGTGGTATATTAGAGCATCTTTACTTGAGATTTACATGTGTAGGGGATGATCCTGGGCCTGTACAGATGTTTCCTTGTGAGCCAAAAGAATCTTTTATGGTTCCTTGAAACCTCTTTACTTGAGATTTACATATGATGATCTTGGATCTTTAGAGATGCTTACTTACTTGTGAACAGAAATAACCTTTTATGATTCTTCAAATCATTTTTGTAAACAAGTGCACTGGGCCTTTGCACTTGCAATTGTTTCAAAGTTTTGGGAAAGGAAACAAGTTGCTGGCATTGCCAGTTTTGATTGCATCACACTATGAATTTTATATGTCCATATTGGTGTCCAAAGGTTTGGGAATCAGTGGAATCAAGTCCAAATGTATAATCAAAATCATTAAAAACCACATGTCAGCCCTTGAATTTTCATATAAATTCTATATGAAGTTTATATGCAGTTTATATGCAGTTTCAAAACGACATGTAGTTTATATGCAGTTGTGACCAAACTACATGTAGTTTATATGCAGTTTTGAAAACTGCATATAAACTGCATATAAACTACATATAAACTGCATATAAACTGCATACCAAAAATCTACAGATTTTGAATGATTTTGACATGCCTGGAAAGCTGAAAGCTTGAGATTTTGAACTGCTGCTGCAAGAAAATTTGTGATTTTCAAGGATGACAACTTAGAAAGAAAAAGTATATATACACATGCAAGACCTTTTAGGCAGACCACTAACTGAACCAAAGATACTTTGATGAAATGAACCTGAGGGCCATTGCTGCTAAAGTTTCAGATCCTTTTCAAAACTTGGTAAAGGCTGCAAATAATGTTTCTCACGAAATAATTTCATATGTGTCCCATGACATTTGTCAAGACTGCCTGGAACTTACCAAATAAAATTGCAAGACATTTGGCCAAACAATGGTTCAAGAGTTATTCATGACTTTTTTGTGTAGGTTTCCCAGTGAAATAGTTCATGGTTAATTAAAAACTTGACAACAATAGTTAAAAAAGAGGCGGCCACAACAGTCCCCTCCCAATTTTAAATAGAAGTTTTAAAGAAGGGAATCAACATGCCCGGCTGTCCACCCGACTTTTTTCGGGCTTTGGACCTTGTCTTCAGGTCACCAACTCCAAAGTTGAGGGCCAGCATCTCAGCATTTTGTAGATGGGGAAGAAACCTGTGTTGCATGCGATTTCCACTTGGCAGGGCTAGCTTTACTTCAGGCACCAAGCATTTTACACTTCGGACAGGTCTGAGCTGCGATGGCAAGCCTCAACTGCCCGTGGCTGCTGCAAAAAACTCTAGGCCTCCGACTTTGAATGTCAGCCATGTTCGCAATGACAAGCATCATTGCATCATTGTGCTAAATATTATCCGGCGCACTTTCCAAAATCACAAACATGGACGTGTTGCTTCGGATTGGGGGCCTAGTTTGGAGCACTTTTCTGGTCACTTTAGGCCATGTTGAGACTCTGCGACTGATGTAATGCTAGATGGGTATATACGGGTTCCTTCTAGACCCTATGTCTGGGACATTCTCATAGTGCAATTGTTCCTCTCTCAGAAACCCTTTCCAGGTAAACACTCGTTGGCGAAGCAAACAACACAATTTGGACAGCAAGATACTTTGACGGCCGCTTCAAATTTTCCACCGAGGCATGCATGGCCATGAAACTCTATCTTTTAGGAACAACACGCATAAAACCAGTTTGCGTGGAAAAGGTCGTTTTCCCGTATATTTCCAATTTCTGACCGCAGAGACAGCTTCAATTCACACCCAGCAAGGTCCAAGAATAAAGGTCTAGTTCTGAGCTCACTCACCGCTTCACCCTTCCTTGCTGTCGTCAGCGTGAGTCCTCCAACAAGAACTCCAAAAAGTTGACCCATGTTGAGCCATCTTGAGCCAGCTCACATGGAAATTAAAATGAAGCGCCTTTGGGTCATTGTTGTTTTAGTGAATGACATCTGGGCATCGAACAAAGTGAAACGCCACCTACACTCATGTTTCTGACAGAAGCCTTTATCAAAGCTTCTCGCAAGCCCGTGCCAGCTTTGGCATAAGTGTATCCATTCTTGACATTCTTGGAACAATTTTACGTAGAGTTTGGGCAGGAGTCAGAATAGCCGTGCCCAGCGACGTCGTGCAGCCACAGATTGTGCAACCCAGGAGGAGCGTTTCAAACGGCAATGGCAATTGCTTCAACGGTGAAGCGATGTTTTTCTGGTGAACTACCGTCCTGTAAAAGGACCAATGCCATCCCAGAAAGATCTTTATTGGGGGCCTTGCGCACAAGTCCGGATCCCCATTCGGACAACATTCTTCTTGGCGTGACTGCGACCATGATATGATTTCCGACCGACTCTTCGAATAGCCTGATTCCTTGTGGGAAAATCACTGAGGACTACCACGCAACACCTTCGTGACTACTTCGCCTTTCTTGCATGATTAACAGAATTCTCGCATTCTCCGCAAGAGCTCAAATTTGTGGTGATGAAATGGGATCATTGAATTCGAACTCCTTTGCGTGGAAAAAAGACAAAATGCAGACAGTTTTTTGTGTTTTGCAATTCTTTGGTTTGATCTACCTCTCTCAGCAATGCTGGACCAAGACACTGGCCAGGTGAAATATGGAGGGATTGTTGATGCGGTGGTCTTGTGAGACTCTCAGTTCTCTTTAGAAGCGGAAGGAAAAGTCATCAAGAGCTTTCCTTTTCACTTTCTTCAATTTTTTCTCATGTTTTTTTTATTTTTTTCAGATCAACAACTTTCAGATACTTTCAGGACAACAAATCAGGTGGTCCACTTTTTTCTCCACACTCCTGGGCCCACTGAAAAAGGCGTTGGCCAGATGGCCGCTCTCGCGGCTTCGGCTACGTGACCTTTTCGGAGGAGAGTGGAGATGGGACTGATGAAACATGTCTAGTGTTGGAGATTCTTATGACAGTTATGACATGACAATTCTGCTATATAAAAATTATACACACATATATATAGAATGAACTGCATATCGCTGCGGAAAAAAATACATACAATCCGTTACAATCCCATTCCCCCCAGACATCCGAAGCCGAATTTCGTGAGTTGCCAGGCCCAAGGCGCCCAAGGAGCATTGAACGACTCTCACCAAGCCACTCAGCAAAGCTCAGCGGGATGAATTGTAGGCCCTATAGGCTATACTGCTATCCTAAAGATTGGGCCGGGCCTTGGAGATGATCACAATCTACAGGAAGTCCTTAAACAATTCACCAGGATCAAGTGGATTTTCGCTTCAACGCGAAGAGACAGAAACACACGCAGGGCACAGAATCTGCTGATTTGCTGTCAGATTGGGGGCAGACAAGTCGACGTGAAGAGGGCAGTGTGCCGCCGGCAGTCTTGCGGGCAAAGCAATCTAGAAAAAAAATCAGAAGACGCATCATTGATCGTTTCATTTCAAATTCATTTCATCACATGTTTATAATGAAATTGCATGAAATTGCTGCATCCCCTCCCCATAAACAGCGATTTTGATCTTGGGTACTTGGGTCCCCACGGTGGCACCATGGGCACCATGGGCACCATGGGCACCACGGTCACCTCGCCAGGCCTGGAACGAACAAACTCTTCGTCGGCGGCTTGCCACAAAACACAACAGCTGCCGAGCTGCGAGAGCATTTTGAGGCCCGGACTGTTGTCGGACAGCAACGGACAGCAACGGACAGCAACGGAGCTTTCTTAAAGCCCGGATGACGAAGATTTTCTGCGATCAAAAGCCAGGGTTGCTTTAAGACACTGAAAGGAACTGAGATGATTCAAGCAACACTTCACGATGTTTTGAAGAACCATCGGAGAACACTCTTCAAGTCGGTAGTGATAAGTGATAAGAATGGCCAAACATTTGTTGTGCAGCGAGTCCACCCGAGGCGTTTGGTACTATGTCTGATGCGGTGGTGATGTCTGACTGGCACTCTTAGAGTGTGTTGAAGGTCTCTTTTGGACACATCCATCAGCCAAACTTTCCTTTTCCTGAAATACTTGTTTCAAGCATCCACCAGTGGTCATGTGCCAGGATAGATCCTGCCACAAATCGCTCTCGGGGATTTGGCTTCGTGTGCTTCTTGCCGGGTCAGGAGGCTCTTTTTTGAGACTTGAGATGGGTGTTCCAGAGGAGAGGGGTGGCGAAGAGAGCTGCTGATTCTGGCAAAAGTTGATCCACATTTGACAATCTCACGATCTGTTTGCAGGGCGCGGCCTCTGCCGCGTTTGCCCTTGAGCAGTGAGCATCCGATCTTTGCATCGATTAGATTTCAAGATATATCAAGTTGTCAGTTTCCTTCAACAGTTTCGTGCAGTCAACAGCTTCGAGCCGTGTGATGATGTGTGAGGTATGAACATCATCGAATCCGAGGCAAGTGGATTGAGGCCGATGGAATGAGATCCATGAGATCCATGAGATCCATAAGATCCATAAGATCACATGAGTCGTTTGACACAGAAACTCTTCAGCTGCACAAACTGCCAGGTGAAGAGCGCGGCACCGCCTCACAAGTTGGCAAAGGCGCGTAATGGCACGCAGTTTTTTTTGAGCGCGGAAAGGCAGAGGCACCAAGGTTGTATCAGCTGAACTAAGGATGCTGCTTCTTCCCCTTCTGCATCTGAAGGCGTTGATGGTCCTTGGTTGTCGGATGTGATCGGTGCACAGTGGTGTGCAGAGAAGCCATGTCCAAGTCAACCAGGTCCATATCCAATGTCTTCTCCAGCAGCCTCACCAAGCGGAAGCCCTTCTGCGAGCTCCTGAGCTTCTGTGACACTGTAGACGAGTAGACAAGGAGTATTTTACAATACTTTACATGACTTTAGACTTTGATACGCACTGTGCATGCACCACGTAGTTGGCTATGTAATTATGCCATGATCAAGCTCCTTCGCATGATAGCGCCAGGCTGGAAGTTCACAGGCCTGTCATGCGCTTCAAGATGCCTGTGTCACCAAATGAATTATCAAATGTGAACACCTTGAATTCACATGAAACCAGGCATCCCCCCACATCATGTCGCTGACTCAAGCACTGAAAGTTCCTCTCGCAAGCGTCTGAGTCTCAGTTCTCCGCAAACAGGGCTCAGAGAGGACTCAGATTGGGCCGCAGGCTGGACCACAATCTCAGGAACGACCAGTGGTAAAACTCCCATGTTTTGAATTGCGATGAGGACTCGCACACCTTTAGAAACAGCTCAGTCTTCAGTCCAGTGTGCGTTTTCGCCAGGCTTCGCCCCAACACCGCAATCGCCTCCTTCAGACCTTGTCATTCGGCACCACCAAATCTTCTCTCGAGCCTCAGAAGGTGCCATTTCTGCAAAATTTCGTCAAGCTGCCCAGCTGCTGTGTAAACAGATCATTTCTTCTGACTGTGCCGTGCAGGTGATGTTGCCAGGAGCTGTGGGCTCCCCACCGGGCCTTGGTGCCACTGCAGCAGCAGCTCTTGCTGCAATGCAGAAGCCTTGGTTTGACATTTGGCAGACGATGGATTCATTGATATTGATATTGTTTGATTGTTTATGTGTTTCCTGCGTTCTTTTCATTTCTTTTCGGTGCATCTTTTTATCTGATGACAGCTATGCAAATTGAGTGACATGCTGGAGTGATTGTTTTTTTTTTTGTGGGTCCATTAGTTTCTTCGAGACTTGGCTTCTGAAGCAAGCTCAGGCGTGCAATGGGATCACCACCAGGGCTCGATATCGAGGAAGAACCTGAGGCGGAAGCTGGGAGAATCGAAGTTGTTGAGATCAGGGTGCTGCTCAACTGTTTGAAACCGGAGGTTGCCGAAGATGAAGAAGAGCCTGGGTCCTCAAGATGGATTTAGATGTTTCAAGATACCTCTATTGCTGAGGCATAGAAGCACCCTGTGCAAACGCACGGGGGTTTTGCATGTTTGTAGCTCAAGAACCATGTTAAACCCCCGCAGAAGCGATTGCGAAAGTCGAATAAATCATAGTGTATTCTCTTAACTGAAGTTACCAACGTTTTGTGCTTGGTTGAGGTAGCGGGTTTTGGGTAAGACATCCATTTTCACGGTGCCATGACCTCGCACACCCCTACCGTGTGCCAAATCCAGAAATGTGGTTCAATGTAGAGACTCCGTGTGCCGGAAACTGCAAGACGAAGCAAAAACCTAGGCCGGATCCGTCAAAGTCCCGCAAAAGCAGGGCGAAAGCCCTGCGAACGTATCGAGTCCCTAATTCAAGATCTTTGCTCATAGCCGTGCCCATCGTCCATGATGTCTGTACGGAATCCAGCGTAACATAACTCTTAAACAAAGCTCGAGAGTGTTCTTGGATTGACCCCTGTTCCTGCACATATGTGTGTGTATATATATAATATAATATAAACAATTCTGCCCATACATGTGTACATAAAGCAAACGACGCGAAAGTGCCGCGAAAGAGAGTTCTCAAAGATAGGGCTCCACCAAAGTGAACATTTGTGCTGGACAGTGACAGGAAAGTGGTTGCGAAAATAATTCGCAATCAAAAAAGATTTGCAACCTGGTTCCCTCAAATTTCACTCATTTAGATTTCATTTAGTGCATTGTTATTTTGTCTTTCCCGGTTTGCATTTCATGATGTGCTCCAGGTGCGCTGGTTCCTGGGACTCACTTGCGGAGCCCAAGCCTTTGGCATATCGACTTGTCACCATGCAGAAAGACACAGTACATTACATATCACATATATCACATATATCATATATCACATATCTTAGTTCTCAGATGATCTGAGATCTGAGGAACTGCTTGCCTCTGACAACACCAGTGGAATCTTCCCCAGAGGCGACAGATTGATTTCTGATCTGAGATTGTATGCTACACAGGAGTCATCCCATGTCATCCCAGTGATCCCGCTTTAGGGTACCCAGTTTCGACGACCCGATCAAAAACACCTCCTGCCCCAATTTCTCGCAGGGGGAGAAACTTGGCGAAAGGACAGAACAAAGCGACAAGTTTGACAATCTCGATCGTGATTCGGATGTGTTCTGGTTCCAAAAATAGTCCCTCCAGGTATTGGAGTTGCATGTGAGTGTCGTTCTAATTTAAAGATCGCTACTTATGACCGTTCTCACTGATTTCCGGTGCCAATGATTGCACGTTTGACAACTTGAATGGCACTTGGATTTATGTGTTGGAAAGGCGAAAGGATAACTTCAACAAATGTCAGCCAGGAGCACTGTTTTCTCCAACAGCGGTGAGTTTACCAGGCCTGGTACAATTTTCAATTTTCACAGCAAGGGCAGGGGATGCAGCACGACACGTACTTTTGAGGACCTTAGAGCAGCTCCTCCGTCTCAGAGCCGAAAACGTTTTGTGCTCAGAACATCTCAGAGCTGAAGTTCAGGATCGTGTGGATCGTGTGGATCGTGTGGATCGTGTGGATCGTGTGGATCGTGTAGATCGTGTAGATCGTGTAGATTAAGGTTGACGAATGTTGACGATCCATTGGGCCCGCCTTGAGGTCGAGACATCTCCCAGCAGCATGTAATCGTTCCATGAGGAACCGATTCATGTACGATTCTCAGCATTCTCAGCGACAGCTGGACGGACCCCCTTGGGAACCTTGGCTGCCGCCCCGAGGCCCTTGGACTGTGGCACATTTGCATTGCGCAAAGTCCTTGGGAAAGTTCTTTCCTACAGCCCAACATGTCCAACATGTCCAACACACGGTGAATCCCAAAATGATTTGTGAACATTGTCAGTTTGACCTCAAGGCTTTGACACATTCTAAGCATCTTGATTACTCTGCAGGCCCTTGCCTTCCGTTGATGAGCAGGGGTCAGAAGGCCCTTGTCCATGCGCAGGCCGACGCTTTGCTGGGAGATGGAGAAGCAAAGTCAGCACAATGTAGATGTGATGTAGAGATGCCACAATATATATATATATAATCAAAAATACAATGATTTACTGGAGTTGCTTTGAGTCCCTATGTTGTGATGACACCTTGCCAGCGAAACATGGTTTCTGTGTCGAGCTTGTTCCCATTGTGCGTTGTGCCAGTTGCTGCTTAACCGCTGAGACGTGACGCCTGAAGTAGTCGAACGAACAAAGTCGCGAAGACTGGGTGCTTTTAAGACTTGACTTTCCAGATAGGAACCGCGATATGAAAAGAACTTTGAACTGCGAGACATGTGCCTTTTGGCCCGAGGCCCGCTAAAATCGCCCGGTTTGGTGGTAGGTTTGATTCGTATTGACTGGCCCCTAATGGCCAACAGCTGTAGCTGGTAGACAAGTTTCAGTGCCAAACCCTTCGTGAGAAGTCTTCAACCTCGCTGATTGAACTATTGGCATTTACTTGGCAACTCTTGGTGGATGGGTTGCTTCTCTAGAAAGATACCTCTGGAATGCAGAGCAGAAGGGTTTGGCCTCTTGATCACCGGGAATCCCAAGATAGTGGACACGTGTACAGACTTCTTTGAAAGACTGAGAATTGCTCAGGGTGTCACCCACGAAGAGTGACGAAGCCTCCAAGCTGCATGTCTTCCCAGGTTGTATCCATTTGAAGGGGGTTCGGAGTCACCCTGAGCGCTGTCCCGCTAAGCGGAATACAGCTCACACGCGAATAAGCACCTGCAAGAAATTCGAGCCCTTTTAGCTACTAAGGCGAACTGCTGCCCACCTGGGGCAAAGAGATTGCAGAATCATGCAGAAAGCATAAAGGGAAAAAGGATGAAACATGCCCAGCCACATACATCAGCAGACAGAATCCTTGTATCAATTTTTGTTTCTCTGCCTTTTGACTTGCACATTTTTGTTGGCAGAACTTTTTTTTCTCAAACCTCACCCCGGAGGTTGGTGGGGCGGATGAGCATGTGGCCGACAAACATATATGTCCAACATCGCAGCTTCTAGTGACCAACAAAAGCACATTGACAAACAGCAGACGTTGTCTGGACATAACTACAAATGAGTGTGATGGAGGACAGGATGTTAGGATATAAACTACAAACATGGCCATAACCTCCTTGCTTCTGTTTGAGGCTTTGCTGGTTGGCCACGACAAAAGAAGAAATCCATTGGAGGGACTGGCATGCCAAGTCAACTCATCCAGTGGAGAAGCTTAGCATTAGCACAATTATCTACAGATCAAATTAAGTCAGTTCCAACATAGCCGGGGCGGCCTGCTTTAAATGCTGGCAGTCGTGCTCTGTAAGCAATGCCAGTGCTAAAGGGCCGCGGTCCCATAGTGAGGTTAGCACTTGCAGTTCAGTCCCCAGATTCTCAACATGTACACTTGAGAGAAGAGAGAGATGTAGCTTGATGGGATGGATTGTATGTTGAGTTTGGGCCTTTCACCCTCACTGTTTGGCTGTGGTTTCAATCCATTTCTCATTTGCATTGCAGGGGTGGAGGAAAGCTTCATCTTCGTCAAGGCATGCAGTTCAAGATATATACGTAGTTCAAGGATGTTCAGTGCAACAGATGCCTTCATTTGATCTCTGCTGATCTCTGCGCAATCCGCAGGCCACCTGGCCAATCGGGCGTTCCTTCCCTGCTTGCAGCACCTTTGCTTGGAGGAGTCCTTATTGGAACATGTGCAGCGGCCTCAAGCCATCTCAAGCCTTTGCGCAATAGGGAATTATTGGCTTAGCAGACGGGCTGGACGAGTCTTAAACACGTGGTTTTGAAAGGGAGCAGCTTAAGTTCTTGAAGTTGGATGCAGCAAACCGAGTGTAGAGCCAGGACGTATGTATATACATATACAATTATATACTTATATAATATATATATACATATATATAATATATATATAATTATATATATATGATTATATCTATATATATAATATAATATATATATACACAGAAGAAACTTTATTAGATATTATAATATGGAATGAATAAAAAGGTCCCGAAAATACCATACAACAAGTTTGTAACTACCAGAGACACTTATCATATCTTGCCATCATCAACTGTAGAAAAAGATGAGGCAACATCTTTTGGACTGCATGAATGATCCCTTCATGAACATGATGCTTTGGCGAAAGGTCATCGTTGCAGACTTCTTCATCAGGCCCACAATCCTGTAGTGGCTAGGTGGGTAGATGCCTGGCATTGTGACTGACACGTTTCCAGGCGCAGAAGCCCCTACGAGGTCTTCCTCAAGAAGAAAGATGAGGAATAGATTTGACGCGAGTCAGAGCTGTTCAAATGCAGACACTGCATGATTTCCCTTATTAACTCATGATCCATGATGCATATCTATCCGCATGTCCCAGTATAAGGAGTGGATGGAGCGTTTGCAGAAGCTCAAGGAGCATTATGCAGAGGCACCAAGATGTGGTTTGCAAAGCATCTCAAATTGCTTCGTTTGCGAAGCTTCAAACTTGGTGTGCTTCAGACGCATGTTTTGGGGCCACAGGAGAAACAAGACCCGTCAGCTGCTCAATGATTAATTGAGCAACAGCAGCGGCTCCGACAGGGTCACTGAGTGGATTCGAGGCCTCCAGGCACAGCTCTCTTTCATTTCGTTCGGGTGAATCGAAATGCCTACCTACTCCCTACTGGCTTACCCAAGTGGAAGGCGCCTCAAAAAACTTGGCATTTCAGGATGCATGAAAATGGCATCATGGCTTCACTTTCAGCAGGTTCACCTTGAGGAAACTGAGACTGATGGAAATCTGTGCAGGTTCGTGAGCTTGAAGCCATTGAAGGCTGGCGCTGGGAAACTGAGAGATAGGCCCCCTCTGTGGGGCATACAAGTTGCTGGCCGTGCGCCAAGCTTATACACTGAATGCAGCAGGAAGTCAAGTCTCTGCAGAGCCTGCTCAAAAAGTGTGAATCGCAGCGAGTAGCGCGGAAAAAAGCGTGACCCACCTGGGAGACTGGGTCACAAAGTACGTGAGACTTATGGAGTAGCCGGAGTAGCTACCTCTGCAAACTCTTCAAAACAGTTCTTTTGGAGAGGGATGCAATGTCTCTGGCAGTGGACACTGTAACAATGTGCAAGAGAGAACGAAACAGGGAAAGAGAGATAGACAACCATTGTAACCAGTATGACTTATGTGCCTTTTTACCATCAGTTATACATGTTCTGCGGAAAAAACATATAATCATATAATCCATTTCAAGAACTTTTTTTTTGCAGAGACAATACCGCCACCGAAGAATCGACTTGCGTTCCTCTTGCATCCTGCAGATTCTCGCTGGGTTTCTTCACTTTGAACTTCAAATCACGAAAGGTAGCGTCAGCTACCTGAGTTCTCCGTGCTTCAGCACAATCATAGGGAGTATTGGGGGGCCAGCCCTGTCAAACGTAGAATTCTAGGCGTTATGTATTAGATATCAATTATAAGGGGGGGGCCGTGGCTTGCACTGTTCCGTTCTATGTGACGGCTCCGCTTGTGAAGAAATAGACACTCTATGAAACATGCATGTATAAGCATTATGTTTATAAATGCTTATTCTGTCCATTTAGGGACTTCATTCGAACGTTGTGAGGCATTTCTTGTCAAGTGTGGGAGAATAGGCCCTACTGTTTTGAGGGTTATGAGCCCAACGGCGATCCACTGATTTTTCGCTGTTGTGGCTGGCCATGGAGCGTTCCCAATCCATGCCAGCGAAGGGAACTGGGGCGCTTGTGAATCCATTTCATTCTAGGCGAGTTCAGGAAGACTATCTTTTGGAAGCTGCCAGACCCACGGATCTACCTGCTGAACCTCTAGAGAGCCATCTTTCAGGTGACAGCTTCCAGGTGAATGGACCAACTGGGAAAGGACGTGGAAATGTGTCTGCTGGCTGTGCAGATGCCTTGCAACCTACACGAGGTCCTATGGAGCTGAGGACAGAAGGTGAGCTGCCAAAAGAAGGTGGAGGGAGTGAAACCATGGGGCCTGTGAGTGAATCCAAAGGCGGCCGAAATCAAAAGGGTGAATTGGTGGGCTTCAACGTGCCTTAGAAGGGGAAGTGGTAGAATTTCTTCGCCAACAGAATGCTCAGCTAATGGATGAGTTAGCAAGTCTCAGAGGAAAGATGGAGAAAGGACACCATAGCAAGTCCACTTCTGGAATGAAATCTTCACCATGGTCATGCGGTTGATGGTTCAGCCAGTAGTTCCAATGCAAATGGTTTTGTCGGCACTCTTCCGCCGGAAAGACATGGTAGACATGGAAGCAGGACTCCAAGGTCCAAAATCAGGGATGTCGCAATTGGCCCGGAGCGACGTGACCCCAAGCACTTCACGCCGAACGGCACCAGAGTTCCAGATGGACCTCCTCCTGGTGATGGTGAAGCTCATCTTCTGCCAGTGCCGCCATTCCCATGGACCTTGAATGGAGGTCAGCCTGGGGAGGGCGTGGATAGCAGTTTTGAGAGTGCCCTCTATGACACATGTGATTCAAAGGGGCGTGCGAGAAACGTGGACACCCAGTGGAAACCACAATGTGATCGAAACGATAGAGACGGGGTGATGTCAGCAAGTGAGGCAAAGCAGTTTTGGTTGGAGAAAGAGGTTCAATCTCTTAGAGTACTGGAATCCTCGTCAAGCTCTTGATCCGGTTTCAACTGGGAGGCCCTGGAGAAAAGCAGCTGTTGTTGACACAGCTCACCACGTTCCCAAAGTGCACGGACGTGCAGCGGGCATCCGAAACTGGAGGAGGCATTATGGGAGGGCACAAGAGGTCGAAGTATCTCTTCCTGACGGTGTGCTTCTTCTCAAGTCTTTGGACACACCGCTGCAGCACTTGGGCGCGCTGGACCCCCAGACGGCGTTCAGACTGAGTCAAAGCAGGATGCAGTTGGAGCTGGATCAACATCCAACCCATCACAACCTTTGGGTGTTTTCCCAATGCCTGTTGGCTGAAGCGGAGACGTTGTGTTTGACATTAACCACTTCTACTTCGTCTACAACACCCATCAAGCTCAAACAGCTGGACGGTGATCTGTCTGAAGTCTCCAGCCAAGATCAACAACGGGGACCGCAAGTCAAAATCCAATCCACTGGAGCCCAAGCCGAGCTGTTACTTTGTGTCGGACAAGGGGTGCACAGCTGGAAAAAGTTGCAAATGGCTCTCTGCCAGACAAGGCAGAGCGGTGTTGGATCTGTGGCAGCAAGGAGCATAGAAAGAATGATTGCCGCCTGAAGTCATCTACAACCAAAAAGCTTGGTGAGCCGTCAGGCTCAGGGGGAGGAACTGGCCACTACGACATCACTTGGAGAGACCAAGAACGGCAGCACAGGTGGTGATGAAACGGCCAAAGGTTCAGGCGATGGTGGAACTGGTGGTGAACAAGTTCAAAAAGGTGCCAAGACTATCACATCTACCAGCGCAGGAAGTTGATGATGGTCAAAACCTTGCTGACTGACGAGGACCAGATCGACAAAACTGGCATCAATCTTGACTTAGCGCTGACCGCAAAGATGCGTCAACAATTTCCCAAACTTCCATGCAGATGAAGTGATGATGCGGCTGATTCCTCACCTGGATGTGGTCCAAACTGAAGATTTTGGAAGTCGTCTTCCATGGAACAGGGCAAAGTGCCGACGCCTGATGAGGGCAAAACACGTTGTGGTGCACTTGTTCTCTGGCCCGGATCAGAACTTTTGGGACAAGCAGTGCTCCAGCTCAACTACGGAGGTGCTTTGCATTGACACCACTTTGTCAACGGCAGCGAACTTGCACGACAGGAGTGTCTATGGGTTCCTCTTGATGTTGTGCGCCAGTGCGCGAGTTCGTGCAATTCTTGGAGGTCCACCTTGCAGGGCACTGACAGCACTGCGGTACCAAGGAGACAATGGCCCTGGTGTTCTTCGAGATGACGAGCATCCGTATGGGCTGCCAACACTTTCTCCTGGAGACATGGAGCTTGTGCGGGGCGACACAATTCTGGTGTTTCGATTTTGGTCTTTGTTCATGCTGGCTGAAGAGGTGCGTGATGTGAATCTTCCTCCAACCCAGTTCTTCATGGAGAAGCTTCAAGACCCAGCTGATTATCGACATCCACAAGACGCCCAAGAGCACAAGTACTTCTCCATCTTTCGAACAGAAGAATGGAAGTCGTTGGCGGCGACCTACAACCTGTCCGTGCTGAATTTTGATCAGTTCCCGATGGGACACCCAAAGTGCAAGCCGACTTCATTGGCGACCAATGTGCCAGAGATGATGCAGCTTGATGAGATCAGGGGTGCTTCATCAAATGAAGCTGAGTTGGCCAACGAGTACAGGGCTATGTCAATGGAGCAGCGCTGTGCTACTTTTAAAATTTGGTCAGCGGGGGCCCCTGGGTTGAAGATGGCTATAGCCGCAGCAATTTGTCACAACATCAACATGTTAGATCAAGAAGAAAGGGCCGGACATGTTTCAGTACGATCTCCAAAAAAGGGCCCAGGACAATTGAATAAACAAATTTCAGTGCAATCACTTGAGCCTCAGACACAGCAACCACATGAAGAAAATGATGATGCCATGAAAGGCACAGCTCCGAGGAGCAATTCAAATCAATTTCAACCTCCAATGAAGATGAAAACTTTGAGTGCGGTGGCACGTCACTTTCTCAATGAGCACATGCCAGCGAGACGTGACTGCTCGCACTGCGTCAAAGCGCAAGCTCGTAGCAAGCCTCACAGGAAGATCCAGCATGCCGAGTCATACACTCTCAGTGTCGACCTCTCCGGCAAGATGTCTGCAGGGGTGGATCAGCAGCTGCTACACGTATCCAGTTCTTTGATGCGATGTCGGGGGAGGAAGAAGCACCAGAAGATCCTGATGTACTTCTTCTGGAGGAGGAGGACGTGGAAGAGGACATGACAGAATCACCTTCTGTCAAGAGAGCTCAGGCCATGAATGAAACATGGCTGAAACTGGCGCAAGAGGCGGAGAATGTGACAGTGCGTCAATTGACCTTTGTGTGCCCTGTGAAGAGTGGGTCGGTGAAACACATCCTTCCAGCAATCTCCAGAGTGCACGCTCGACTTCCGGCGCTGGGCCTGCCGGTCTACCGTCTTCATTCAGACCGAGCACGGGAGTTTTCATCAGCTAAGATGCAGGCATGGGCATTGGGGAGGAACATCCTGACCACGATGACAGCAGGTTCTTCTTTCAAGGCCAACGGCCGTGTGGAGGCGGAGATGGGCGTCATTAAAAAGTCCATCAGGACGGTGATTTCAGCTGGCACTTGCACGTTGCAACACAGGCCCCTGTAGTCCAGCATAATTGGCATGTTTCATGTCAGCCTCAGTAACAGTTGCTGCAAGAGGTCTTAAAACGAGGTTTTTAATAAAGCCCTTTTCGTGCATCATTTCACGCTGCACAAGACGCTGTATCATGCTGTCATGCTCCGGTGATTTAAATAAGATGTTCTATCCAGAGCATGACTGCATGTTACAGTGTCTTGTGCAGCGTGACATGAAGATTTGTTCAAATCCCAAAATCCATCTCCAAAAGGCTCCTGGCCACGATTTTGCCCAAAATGGACGTTTCCAGCTTTTCCTATGTCAACAATTTAATAGCCAGCAGGAGCCTACCCAAATGCCAAAATCCAGCTCCAAAAGCTCCTGGCCAGGATTTGGCCCAAAATAGCCGTTTCCAGTCTTTCTTTTGTCAGCGGTTTAATAACCAGCTGGGGCCTGCCCAAATCCAGCTCCAACAGGCTCCTGGCCACGATTTTGCCCAACATGGCCGTTTCCACCATTTCCTATGTCAGCGGTCTAATAACCATCTGGAGCTTGCCCAAATGCGAAAATCTAGCTCCAAAAGGCTCCTGGCCAGGATTGACCCAAAATGGCCGTTTCCAGTCTTTCCTATGCCAGCGGTCTAATAACCATCTGGAGCCTCCCAAATGCCAAAATCCAGCTCCAAAAGGCACCTGGCCATGATTTTGCCCAACATGGCCGTTTCTAGCTTTTCTTTTGTCAGCGGTGCCCAAATGCCAAAATCCAGCTCCAAAAGGCTCCTGGCCAGGATTTGGCCCAAAATGGCCGTTTCCAGTCTTTCCTATGCCAGCGGTCTAATAACCATCTGGAGCCTCCCCAAATGCCAAAATCCAGCTCCAAAAGGCACCTGGCCAACATTGCCGTTTCTAGCTTTTCTTTTGTCAGCGGTGCCCAAATGCCAAAATCCAGCTCCAAAAGGCTCCTGGCCAGGATTTGGCCCAAAATGGCCCTTTCCAGTTTTTTTTGTCAGCAGTTTAATAGCCAGGTGGAGCCTGCCCAAATGCCAAAATCCAAGCCAGGATTTGGCCCAAAATGACCGTTTCCAGTTTTTCCTAAGTCAGCGGTTTAATAGCCAGCCGGGTCTTGTCCAAATGCAAAAATCAATCTCCAAAAGGTGCCTGGCCACCCCCATTTAAGACTGCTTGCAGCAACCGTTACTGAGGCTGAAGCATACCAATTATGGTGTACTACAGGGACATCTCCCTCATGGAGAGCGTGCCTCTACTGTGACATTTCCCGCCAGTGCTGAACAAAAGTGGCGCAGTGTTTTCCTTTCCACAACACTACCTTTCGTCCGCCTTTGCTTGCTCTCAAGTTCAAAGGTATCCATGAACGGTGACGAATTTTTTGGATCTCTTTGTTTGCACAACAAAGTTTTTGCGTGCACAGGCCTTTGCGGTGTTTTTTTCCTAGCCGTTTTGGATCTTGCAGTGGGTTCACATTCAAGGAAGAGGGTTGGATCGGTAGGGATTGGTGGGCAGCTGATTTGCATTTTAAAAATGTTTTTCCTACCAGCAAATCTTTTAGGATCTCTGAGGGCACAAAGCTGCTACATGGTACACAGTGGATTTTTTTTTTTCCGCCAAGACAAAATAACCAAATGAGATACGACGCCGCACCTTTTGGTGCTGAAACTCTAGTAGCTCTAGTAAGTAGGTGATGCCAAAACTGTGCAATGCCTCGTGCGCTTGGGGCCCATTTTTTTGGGATTTCTTGACAGGATTTTGTCTTGGACATCCTTCAGAGTCATCATATTTGCTGGCTGGTTTTGTTTGGCTATGGAAAAGGCACAATGTGAGCACTGGAACGGAACAAGTGCTACAGCAACCTTTCATTACCCTTTGCACTCTTGCTGTCAATGACTTGATAACGAGGGAAAATAAGAGGACCTGACAGCTACATAGCCACTTGAACAAGTTGTCCGCAACGCTCTTTGTACGCGGAAGACCAAGGCGAAAGGGAGAGACAGCCGCAGAGGGCCCCAAGGCCACAAGCAAACAGCATGATGTTGGTCCTGAGGGATTGATTCAAAATTTTGTTTGGTTGGTGCTCAGGCAAAGAAAACTAGGAAACGCTCAGCTCCCGAAGCTGGGTTGCTTGGCAGCGGGTTTTCATGATTTGCACCTGGGAAATTATCGGTATTGAAAAGGTCTTCTCACGACTTGTGTTTGATGTTGGTTCACTGTGTTGCACGTTGCTTTGCGCTATCACTTCACGAGTCTTGAGAGTTGTTTTGTGTTTTTCTCAAGGTGTTCATTTCTTAGAAGAGTCTGCCATCCAAGGCAAAAAGAACATGTGGCTTCGCACAGCGGATTCTTAGCGGAAGTCAGTGAGTCATAATGCAAAGCTCCTCCAGTGGCAAGTAGTTTTCAAATGAAGCTACCTACCTCACACCAAGCCTTGAGGAAACACAGAAAAGCAGCGAACTGTGGCGGACTAAGTCGTGCAGAGGCAAATCTCCCAGGCCGCATCTAGTCTTCTTTGAGAGGTGGATGGAAAGCACAAGAGAAACAGTGCAGAACAGACTGGGACCAGGTCTCTTGGACGCACAGAGTCGTAGCTGACTACCAGTATTCTAGAGGTTGCAGTTTTGGCATAGATACAGTACGTACAGATACGTACAGTACTTAGCAGACACGGAAAAAAACCTGAAGGTTGATCATTGAACTGGTGCGAGGCCCAAAAAGAATCGGAAACGTGGCTTCACAGACTACATGGTGCACTACTCAGACTTTAGCAATCTGTGGCAGTTGGCTTTCCAGCTTGTTTTCATGTGCGGTGACTTGGTTTTGAACTGGGCAGGACCACACAGCCGTAGATGAACCCCCTGGATCTCATGGATCTGAGGCATTGTACTGTTAGCTGACTTACATAGCTGATCTGAGCGAACCGGACGCCAGGCTACAGACAAGCCACCTCCAATGGTTGTCGTACCCTTGCCTTCTGGTACAGCTGAGCTGCTCAAAGATACAAGGCTCGAGCTCACAAAGCACAAGCTTTGTCGACATCGTCGACACAGCTTTTCCTTTATCAGGCTGTATTGGTTTTCCTTGATGCAATGCTTTTCTTTTTCCCATGTTTCCATCCGTTCTTCAACTCCAGGTGGCTTGAGCATTTCAAGGCAGTTGCAGAATCAGTGGCGCCTTTGCCGAAAATTATGGCCACATATGACCGCAGTTGTCCGTGACATCGCAATCCAAAAAAATCCAGGGAACAAACCTCGAGTAGTAGGTGGTGGTAGAGAGACTCTGTGTGCGCAAATTGTTGAAAGTGAAGAACATGTGACCTGTTGACCATATTCTCGGCATCAGGTAGACGTACAGATTTTCACAGTCAAAGACACTGAAGAGCCTAGTGATTGCCATGGAGATCCAGAGGCAGGACGTGGGTACCTGAACGGTCAGCAGTGGATATCCCCATGTGGAGCCCCGTGCGAGGTTTTTGAGGTCTCCTCGCCCAACGGTCAAACCAACTGCACGCGACCCTGGTGTGTTGATGTCACCACATCATCCGCATCGATGTTGGTCAACGGCCTTTCTGCCTGTGGTTTCATCCGGCTGAGGCACTGGCAAGTACTACTTGCTTCCAGGGAAAGTCAATGAGCACAGCATTTGGAAGAAGGACTGACACTGGCACTTTCAGTTCAGAGATGAACTGTTTGGCATCAAATTGCTCTGGGCGTGGTTAGGACGGCCAAGACCGTTGGATCTACAGTGGCACTGATGGTGAACATCTTATCTACAAAAAATAGGTGCATCGATTTGTTCAACGCTATGGCAAAGACAACTTTCTTGATTTCATCATATTTTATCCAGGATATCAAACAGACCTCGATAGCCTTGACGGCCTTGACTGCATGAGGCACTTGGTTAGTGGGGGGGCCCGCGCAGCAAAAGCAAGGCTTCGCGTGTCGCAACTTGGCACAAAGGGCCTAGTCTCTTACCATAGGGAAAAGAAAGAGATGTTATGGAAAAGTTATTAAGTGATTATATAATTATATATATAGTCTCTTGAAGATATGCAAACAGGGGAATATTCGAAATGAGGTCTATCTCATTTGTGAGCAAAGCCTTTGAGGTTCTGGCCTTCTACATCAAGCCGTGCTTCACAAAGGAGAGATGCCTGACAAGTCAAGGCCTTAAATTTGGACTAGCCCTGGTCGCACATCACCAGTCCGACAGATCGGCCCATTCGCATCCACTGCTAAACTACCCCACCATATCCTATACCATATCATACCATACTAATACTAGAAAAGACAAGACAAGACCAACACCACACCATACCATACCTTACCATACCATACCGTGCCATACCCTACCCTACCCTACCCTACCATACCACATCATACCATACAGTATATATTTAAATGTAAATGTGAATAGAAGTGTAAATGTATATATATATATAAGTATAAATGATACACACATATAATACACGAGCACTCTGCTTGATGTACATATGTATGAATGTATGATATTGTTGTGTCCGGAGGGTGAACAGGTCCTATCTGTCTTGTATAAGGCTCCTGTTTGGCAGCTCGATTCTCAAATTTCATCGGAGGAAAGGGAGAGACTGGTTCTCATCAGAGCATTCATTTGTCATACACTTGCTCAGAGATTGAGGTTGGAAACGTGTGGATGGCAAGACCTGGAAAGAGGACATGGTGATTCTGTGGCTTTGTGTTAGCTTTGCTGCATTTTTGACAGCTCAGGACCCAGAAATCAGTGTGAAGGCTGCAACGCCACTACTGCCAGGCGTGTCATGGCGTAGCATTTCTTCCAAGCAATGAAAAAGCTGTGTCGGCAGGTCAGCCAGTGCAAGTCACCGGGCATGGCAGAAACGGCTGGCTTGGCCGACTCATTTCCAGGACATGGGTTCAAAATAGGTTTAAATGGAATGGGGGATCCCCAAAATAGTTGGTTTATAATGGAAAATCAATGAAAATCCTATTCAAATGAATGATTTAGGGGTCCCCCCATGACTTCGGAAAGCTCAAGTGACTTTTCAACGCGTTGGCTCTCGGCTGAGGAGGCAAAGTGACGAAGGGAACTTCTGGCAAGTGCAATTGGCCAACGGCCAGGACAGGGACGCATCATGTGAGCAGTGTTCAAAACCCCTGTTGGTTGATGATTATATGGGATTATACTACCCGATTGAGGATTATAATATCCAATAGGGGAATCCATATATAATGGAATGACAGAGGGATTTTGAACAATGCTCATGTGTAACTCCTCTAACTGGAGGAAGAGCTGCCTGAGCAGAATTTGCAACTGAAGAAGATTGTACAAGACGAGGCAGGCAGGTGGAAACATATGGAAACTAAAACGAAGACAATGCTGTTAAACCAGTTGTAAATCAGATTGTGACTCAGTTCTTCTGATTCTTCTGATTACTCAGCACCAGTCTTCCTCTCAACGTACTTTGAATATCTTTTGATGGTTCTTGTGGGTGTGACATATTAGACAGTTGGAGTTATATTATGATTTGGGGTTTCTGTTTTTGGGCTCAAAATGAGGGTTGTCACGCACGGCCTATTGTTTAGACCTGGCAAGATTGGAGGATCAGGGTCTCGGGTGGGAACACTGCAAAAAAGTTTCACATCTCTAGGATTTGTCCTGACATCTCTTGACATCTCCTGACTCTTGGAAATCCTTGGTACACCTGCTGTATGTTTTGTGCGGGCTTGCAGGTGTGGTTGACAGTCCTGACTGAAGCATCAACACAAAGAGCCGTGCAGATGTGTGAAGTGTTGGCGGCAACACTTATGGGAGGTGTGGTGAAGTTCTCACACCTTGCAACTGCAAAGGCCACTGGACACAGTGGACACAGTGGACATATGGTGGTTGGAGAATGTCCATTTCTGCTTCCTGGAAAAGTACAACAACGTTTGGGAGCGGCAGAACTCTGTCGCTTCATGGAAAAGTTCAGCGTCATCCTGGGCTTTGAAGAAAGGATGGGCCAAGGCGGGCAAGGCGGCCAAGGCGGCCAAGGTTTGAGCCCGAACGACCTCCAGCTGTCCCTTTTGATTTTTGGCCCAAATCCAGCACCCGCTGTGTTGGCGCTTCTGGGGCGCATCGAGGAGTTGATTCCCGATTGCCTTCGTTCTATCGCTTCGCTGGATCCTGAAGCGTTGGAGCCTCCTGACTCGCAGTTTGGTGCATCGGTTTGCAGCAGATCACTACCTGCTGAGAAAGATTGGCTGCAAAGATTGGCCACGGCTATGCAGGCGGGCTCAGAGACACAATAAGCCTGGAGTGGGTAAAGCATGGTAAAACCATTGAACAAACCATGCTGTCGGTTCCTGCCGAATATGGTGTCATTATAATAATTCATTAATATTCATTATATAAGTGTCACTTAGTCAAGTTACTCATCACTTGCAGTGAATGGATTTGGATCCATTGGATCTGATGAGCCCAACATGCCTCCTTTGTTCAGGTTCAGGCATCCACTGTTGGGGGTGTCAGTGAGACTCTGAGTGGATGCCAGGTGTGGCAGAGTTGTCCTGTATTGAAATTACCACATAGCGACAGTCACCGACGTACGTGTTTGAGGCATACTACTGGGTGGAAGACCAGAACGAGAAAAGAGCCTGCAACTGATACAAACTGCATCACGGTTGCAAGCGGGGTCAAGCGGCTTGTCAAGCGAAGATGAATCTGGCGAACAGACGCAAACATACTGAGCTCTCTATGTTGGTCCGCTCAGGCAGAGAGCGGCAGCTCCAAGGCATATGCAGAGACACCTCGCAGTTATCTCGCTGTGACGTTTGAGTCCCTGAGTCCTTCGAATCATGTCGAATCATGAGATTCTCTGAAGTTTTGATTTCTAAAGACACCGAACCCATGGATGATTTAGTTATTTTAGTTTCCTGGAAGTTAATTGAAATCCAAGTTCTGGCCAGGTCCTACCAAATATGCTCGAGCCGCACTGTGCCTGACACCAAGTGCTGAGGGTTGGCACACTGTGTGAGTCACTGAAGCATCCGGACATTTTCAGGTGTACATGAGGTGTACATCCAGTCCAGGACAATGGGACGAACTTTGGACCGTGTCCTTTTCAGCTGGATCTGCTAGGCCAGCACTCGAGTGCCAGAGGCCGCCCAGATTGCCGGAATCTCAGAGCTGAAAAGGTGGCCGGAGCCCTTCTGATCCTTCTGCATTCTATGAGGTATTTCCATGTATTCACGTCGCTTCGCGACGGCAACCGCCCGCACCGCATCGTTGGGCTCACACAAACATGATGATGAAAAGGCATGTCGGCCATTGAGACCAAAAACATCCAAAAGTACTGATTGTCGGAAAAAAAACGCGAAGAATTTGATAGCCATGTATAGCGGACCAACGCAGTTCAAAAAATAACGAAAAGCATGAAAAAACGGCGAAAGTGCTGTTATTTACAATGTTTTTGCGCGGTGAGAAGCAGAAACCACTGCAAATACCATGGTTTTTGAGGGTCAGGTGGCCAAAAACACTGTAATTTACAGTGTTTTTTAACCAACGTCAAAAAACACTGGTATTTACGATGTTTTCATTCACACCGTAACATAAAACAGCGTAATTTACGAGGTTTTTGGAAGTTTTGGAGCTAGCCGTCAAGCATGCAGAAAACAGAAAAACACTGTAAAAACCAGTGTTTCTGCTATCACAAAACGACGAAAATCAGTCCGAAAACGGGTCCAAAAACTCAAAAATCCGCCTCCGGGCCAGGCCACCTGCGGAACCGCAAAAAAAGATGTTGCAAACCAAAAAATTGAAGTCAAAAAGTTGAAAAACACGGGTTTTTTTCACTTTTCGCTTGCCGATTTTGGACGGGCGCGTTCACGAACAGGTGTCTTCCGTACTGTTTTTTTACAGTGTTTTTTGAAGGCGAGCGTCACGACCTATCAAAAACAGGAGGTTTTGGCCGAAAAATGCCCCCCCCCCCAGGTAAACCTGTAACCTTTTACGAGTGCCATCCGGACGATCACGCCCCAGCACCTTCGGTGCGGGCGGATTTCCCGAGCCAGTACAGTTAAGCACGAAGTGACCATTCGTCATACGACAGATTTTAAGGCAAGACAATGGTCTTAGAAAGTGCCGAGTTGCCTCAGACCCCATGTTGTCACTTTTCTCTGAGGCTGTTGGAAAAGAACTGGAAGCTCTCAAAGAAGAGCTTGGTGTGCCAGCTTACTCAGTTGCTCCAAACGACTTACTTAGATTCTTGTGCTTTGGTGGCATGTCACGATTTAACCTTTCTTAAAAGAAAATCTGTGACTCAGTCTCCGTTTATATGCTCCTTTTTGGATGTGCTTGGATTCTGCCTTGCTTGTTCCTTGGCATTTCTTTCAAGAGAACTGTCAGAGTGTGCACTTCATATCTTTCGCTTCAGGATTGCTGTTTGGTGTGTCCAAACGGAATCAGCGACCACAAAAGAAGCACCTGCCCTATCTGCACAGAGGAAAGAGACTTGTAGTATAATATACAGGACGTGAAGACTGGCTCGTGCCTGGGGTAAAGTCATTTGAGGGTCCCAGCTGGTTTCTTCTGCAGTCCTTGTTTCTGTTTTTTGGTCTTCGTGTACTCCACTCTTCCCATGTAGGAACCTTAATTTGACATTACGCACATTACGCAGTAGTAACTGCCCTGGTTATATGTGGAACATTCCGTTTCCATATTTTCCATTCAACATGGAAGTGATCTGATTTCTATGCCGGGGAGGGAGCAGAACGGGCAGAACTCTACGATTCTCAGGTCACATTGGATGTGCGAGAGGCCACATGTTTGGATCAACTTTTTTCTTTGTTCAAGTGCTCTCAGGGCTCAGTCTTTTGGATGTCATTTTCTTGTCCTACAGTAGATGGACAAAATATTCAATCCCTGCAGCACGCACTATGTTGAACCCCCGCACCCCCAAATCTCAATGTTTCAGCGCGCGTGTTAGCAAAAGTGATGTTAGGGGTTTGATTTCGCTTCGTCCATTGGGGCTAACGCACTTCAGGTTACATTAACATTGAACTTTGGGGGCGAGGGGGTTGTGCCGGATAGAAGGGGTTTGAATATTTCGTCCATCTACGGTATGTTGACCTCAAACCCAACAAGAATAGAATCATCCCCAGAAAGGAATGTGAGTCGATATGCAAAGCTTGGATCTCAACTGCCAGGATTTGATCCCTGGTACAGCTGTACGTGCAGTTTATGAAGATGGAGACTGGCCTGGTCCCTACAAATTGCTAGGAGGGTCAATATGTTGAAATAGTTGTAGGGTCCTCCAAAGTGCAGACAACTTCCTGCAAGGTATGATGCAACAGTCCTTGAAGTCCATCCTGTGAGTGACATGGTGCAGCACTTGGTCGCGAAATGTCGCGACAGTGTCCCAATTCAACCATTTGAGTCACTTTGCAGGTGGATGTTCAATGGAAAGATGCGTCTTCTTCAAGGCTACTCATACGAGTGAAAGCCTTGGCAGCACCCAGATCCTGTGACAATCGTATGACAAGCATTGCAAGAGAGACTGTGGTTGTTGCAACTTGTGACAAGAAATCATGGCTGGACAGCTGCCCATTCTTATGAGTTTTGACCAAACTGTCAGGATGTCAAACTGAAGCTCAGCACAGACAGCCAGCAAAGGTGTCTCTTGCATGTTTTACAGCTGTCGTTCCTTCACACTCATCCCATCTCATCCACTTTCGGTGAAGGAAGCCCAAGATGCCCAAGTCATCCCAAGTCAATGTGTTGAGAATTGAGCAAGGCGGAAGAGAGAGGCTTTGCTGCAGACAGCTCGGCGCTTAGCCATCTTCGGTCCAGCGTCAGCGCCTCAGAAGCGACGACGCAACGTTGCATAACGATGGTTTTTGCACGAAAAAACAGCAGATCTTGCGCAAGGCGAGAACGCAAAATCGCGGTGGCCAGCGTGATGGTTTTGGTCCGGGACCTGTCGCGAGCTGTTTGGTCTCCGTTTGGAGGTTGGGGCACCTCTGGCCAGGTCGAGGAGCACTGCCGTGGCCTTTGGACTGAAGACCTTTTGCAGACGGTGGAGGTGCTGATGTGGCTGTGAGGGAAACAGTCATGTTCTTGCATTTGTATATATTGTTATGTCATTAAAAAAAAACTATGAGATTGTCACACTGTCATTTTTAGAGTCGCAAACAGGCAGTTTTTTTTCTTCCTTTCCATCATTTTCCATCATTTTCCATCATTTTCCTTTTTTCCCCCTGTCTCGACAACTTCTGCTGTTTCTGCTGTCAGGAGCTGCGTGGATCGACCCATGAGGCCGGATTGAGGTCCGAGCCGGACCTCGACGACCAGTGCCAGTGATGTGTCAGGAGACCTCAATCGATGTGAAGCTTTGTCCTTTCATTGGAGGCTGGTGGAAAGAATGTGGAAAGGACATTTAGGCAATTTAAGGTGTTGAGTTGTGATTTGGTTCAAACTGTTGAATGGTGTTGAGTGAAATTGTTGTCATCGATGAGAAGTGAGTGTCGAATCTGTTTGGCAAGGTCCTTACCCTGCCCTGCACATTCTCAAGACAATCAAAGGCTTGAAGGCCAGACTACCAAAATGGTGGAACTGGAATTCTTGGACAAATGAAAGGGTTTGCAGATAGAAGTGTCAGCAAGCTTTGGTACATGCAATTGATGCTGCAGGAAAGCCTGCAACGTGCAGCCTCGGCCAGCGGGAGCTATATGTGCCTTTTAGGCAGGTTGGCCGAAAGCAATCCTCTCCCTCTTTGCTGTCCAAGAGCTCCAAAATTCCGTCTGCATAATCGCCAACAATTTGGCACCACAAGGAACATGCAACAAACGTGAACAACTACTCAGCTGCAACAGATCGCTGACCAAACTTGCATCAAACACTGACATGCGCAGCCCCAATCACCACAGACCGTGTCGGGAGGAATGTGTTGTGGTACAGTACTGTACTTGGTGGGGCAGGGGACAACTTTAGTGAAGTTGCCAAAAAAGAATGACGATTGTCACCTGGCGCATTGACAACCTGGGTCTAAGTCCTGGTATTCCTCGTAGTCCATACTTCTTTCTGGAGAGTCCGCGCATTAGCTTGCTCACAGATTGCAGCTTTCGTCAGGGAAGCCTGCGCTGCTGGTGGTCGGAAACCAGCAAGAGCGAAGTCAAGGACAATCTGCAAATAAGATAGAAGTACATGAGTTGTGCTGCCCCCTTTTTCGCTTCTTTACCAGCCAGGATTGGATTATTTGGAATGGATTGCTGCAGATAAGCAGCTCGGCAAATACTTGAGGGGCATTAGTATGCGGCATTAGTAGTAGCAGCAAAGCCAACAAGCAAGAAGTGGCATTGCAGATCATATCTTGACATGTTGCACCGAGGCTTGTTTGGGAGACCTTCTCCTCAAGTGCAAAGTCCTGGTTGGAGGTAGGTTTCTGCAGTTTCCTTTCTCATGCCATTTGAACATTGTTCCTGTTTTGTCAAGTTACTATTCTCAGCGAACTGGTTTCGGTTTTAACGAACATGTGTGGAAGGATGAAGTCCAATGGTCAGATGGTGAAGATAAGTTTCTGCTGTTCATGGACGGCAACAGGCGACACGTGTATTGGACGTGTTGATTGATTGGTTCATCAGCGCCTTTCATGCTGTGCAAGTGTCAGTGTCAAATTGTCGCGTTCCTCTTTCATTCCGTGATGCAGCTTGGGCTTCACAACGAACGGCATCTTGAAGGCCATTTTACTTCAGCACTGTTGATATTTCATGATATTTCCACAGAAATGGCTTCAGACTGCACTTGTCCCACTCCTCACTGTCACTGGTCAGGTTCGCGAGGTTGCGACTGCTTCTTACAGTGGTTCCGAGCTTTGCCTGCGGAGCTGGCTTGATTGGCGGTGAAGATGGCCAATGTTGGGCCAATGCTTGACTTTTTTTCAGCTTCAAGTGCAGGAGCGGCAGTGGAAGCACCATCCGAATAGCAACGGACGAAGGTGTTGGCATCTCAGGAGTCAATCCGCCTGTGACATGCGGTGTTGTTTTTGCAAATTGGGAACCCTCTGATGCGATCGAACTCGATCACTTGAATCGCTTGATACATCTTGATACATCTTGATACTGATAGACACTGATAGACACTGATAGACACTGATAGACACTGATAGACACTGATAGACACTGATAGACACTGATAGACACTGATAGACACTGATAGACACTGGATAGACACTGATAGACACTGAATAGACACTGAATAGACACTGAATAGACACTGATAGACACTGAATAGACACTGATAGACACTGAATAGACACCGAATAGACACTGAATAGACACTGATAGACACTGATAGACACTGATAGACACTGATAGACACTGATAGACACTGATAGACACTGATAGACACTGATAGACACTGAATAGACACTGATAGACACTGATAGACACTGATAGACACTGATAGACACTGATAGACACTGATAGACACTGATAGACACTGATAGACACTGATAGACACTGATAGACACTGATAGACACTGAATAGACACTGATAGACACTGAATAGACACTGAATAGACACTGATAGACACTGATAGACACTGATAGACACTGATAGACACTGATAGACACTGATAGACACTGATAGACACTGATAGACACGGATAGACACCGATAGACACCGATAGACACGGATAGACACTGATAGACACTGATAGACACTGATAGACACTGATAGACACTGATAGACACTGATAGACACTGATAGACACTGATAGACACTGATAGACACTGATAGACACTGATAGACACTGATAGACACTGATAGACACTGATAGACACTGATAGATACTGATAGATACTGATAGATACTGAGACTGATAGATACTGATAGATACGGTATTTTGATATTTTTGATGTATTTTGGGTCCTTGACATGACATATCTCAGACTATCTCACACAGTTGTGGCTAGGGCAGACTCCAAGGTGGTGAAGAGAGTCTTCCAACTTTTTCTTCGCTCTCAGCTTTCTAAAGCGCTTGGCACGTCTAGAGGTGTCAAAGCGCCTTGCAGCGCTGGTTTTCGGGCTGGTTGCTTACCTTTTTGAATTTTTTGGTGGAAGATGTTGGAAGATGTTGGAAGATGTTGGAAGATGTTAATTTCTTCTTTGTTGCAGCTTGCCCTTGGTTTTCAGTCCCCTGCGAACGTTATATATTGCAGACACGAGTCACCGTTGGCAGCGTGCTGCGCCAGGTGACACTACTACCATCGAGACCACCTTTGGTCAAGCAGTTCTCTGGCAGACAGTTTTTTTCCCCGGCCAGCTGGGTTTTGCTTTGAAAAATGGTTGTCAGGACATGAACCAAGGTTTGAGAAGGTTGAGACATGTTGAGACTACTGTATAGTTTGGTGCGATATTTCGATATTCTTCTAGGACGCCAATGATCGACTCTGAATGGTTCAATGGATCGTCCAGAGGAGACGGGGTTTAACAGGTCAAGGGTCGCCCCGAACTCATGCCACCATTCACTGAGGTTTGGTTAGAGCCAGTTGAGCTTCGAGTCTGGATCTTAACTCAAAAGGTCCACAGCTTCCAAAACTTGCAAGAAAAAACTATGCTAGAGTTTTCAAGCAAGGGTGGGTCGCCGGCCCCTTTCAGAATCTCTATGCCTCTATGCCTGAACCACTAGCCGGACATGGCAAACTAAAAATCGGACTATCCAAGCAATGTTAAGTGCTTTATGTTTCCAAAGTATATTCACCCCGCTTCGCGTGGGGTGGCCGCCCACACCGCAGGTTTATTTCGGTCCGTGAGAGGGGCTAAGGGTGGTTTTCCCCCGTGGGGGCTCCCCAAGCTAAGAATTTTCACTTCCCCCCCCCCGTGGGGGCTCCCCAAGCTAGGGAATTTTCACTTTTCCCCCCCGTGGGGGCTCCCCAAGCTAGGGAATTCTCACTTTTCCCCCCTGTGGGGGCTCCCCAAGCTAGGGAATTTTCACTTTTCCCCGCCGTGGGGGCTCCCCAAGCTAGGGAATTTTCACTTTTCCCCCCCGTGGGGGCTTCCCAAGCTAGGGAATTTTCATTTTTCCCCCCCGTGGGGGCTTCCCAAGCTAGGGAATTTTCACTTTTCCCCGCCGTGACAGCTTCCCAAGCTATGGAATTTTCACTTTTCCCTCCCTTGGAGGCTCTCCAAGCTGCGGAATTTCAAATAGCTAGACAACGACGCCTAGATAGTCCCCAAATCCCGTGTTCTTTGAATGTGTTTCCATGTTTTTGCAATGGTTTCCTTCAAAGCACGGTACTTTACACTTTTGTCGCCATAAAACCGGTCGAAAACATCATGTTCGCCAATGCTTCCAATTCCCTTATCTCCCCAACCGTTGAAAATACCGCTATTTACAGTGTTTTCTTCAATTTTTCCATGTTCCAATGCCGGTAGCCAACTCCAACATATATATAAGAAATCCTTCCAAAGCATTGTTTTTGACAGTGTTTTTCCAATGTTTCCAGTCAAACAGACGGTAATTTACACGTTTTTTGCCATAAAGGCAGTAAATCCTTCCAAAACATTGCTTTTGGCAGTGTTTTTGTAATGTTTCCAGTCAAGCATACGGTATTTTACACGTTTTTTGCTATAACGTCAGTCCAAAACACTTGTTTTTGCAGTGTTTTCAATGCTCTGGCATCCAAAAACCCTGCAAAATCTTGCTATGTACAATGTTTTTTTCATTTTTGGCCGTTTTTCCATTGCCGGAAAGCTACCAAAATGACCCAAATTCCATTTCAATACCCTCTTGCACTCAGACACCCAAAAATCCTCGAAAAATGTCGAAAACACCACCGTATTCTGGTCTCGGTGCGAAACCGTTTTTGGGGTCTGGTCTCGGTGCGAAACCGTTTTTGGCCCCCCCCCAGCTAAAGCTGATATAGCGACTGCTATATTAACAAATGTCATTGAGCATTTAGTGTTGCTGTTTTGCCCCCAAATAAGCACGCCTTCACCGCCAAAGCGGTGTGGGCGGATTTAAATGCTCTCCGATCCTCTAATGTATATAAGATGAATTCGAAAGACCAGAAATTGCCATTCGCTATGCACAGTTTGTTCCCAGCTTCCCAGCTGTAGACCTCGTGCTCTCGCTAAGACAATCGAGAGGCAGACCAAGACTCTTGCCCGCGCCGCAGAAGAAGACGATTTTGCTAATCAACCATTCATTTAAGAAACACCAAGAAGTGATGCAGACGAATTTGTTGCACGCCAAGGTAATTGTCCCTCAAATTGACAGAAGCACATCGAATTGGCAGCCAGATGCATGGACCTTACATTCTTGAGCAACACAGTTTGACAAGTCTGGATACCAACATGGAGCTGGCGAGGCCAGCTGCAAGATCCTGGCCGCCTTCTTATGTCTTTCGTCACCAGACATGTTTCATTGGGAGTTGGCCAACTGCCCAAATGCTGAGGTTTGTGGAAGGGAGACTTGTCGTGAAGAAGCTGCTACAGAGTTAGCGAACTGCCTAGAAAGTCTGGCGAACCGTATGGTTTGGAGCTCAGAGCTGGTCAAAGCTCCGGGCTATGGGACTGGAATGACCATTCTATCACGAAGATAGTCATCCAATGTCATTTGGAGGCTGCGTGGTTTGACTCCCGTTGGGGTCTGGTTGCCTTTTGACTCATGAGGCACAGCAGAAGGAGGAAGAGGTGCCGGGATCGGGGTGAGTTTTTTCTCTCCATGTTCGAATTTCAATCTAGTTCTAAGTAATCAAAGTCTTGTCGTGTTGGCATCCTTTGTGCTTGGTAGTAGGCTTTGCTTTGAAATAATTGCTAACGTCAAAAAGACGCAGCAGGTTTAAAACATTTCTCCATTGAGAAAGGGAGGCTTTAGATTCCAGTCTGTACGATTCTCGCGTTCAACCGTGCACCATCCTTTGCATATCAAAGAGCAGCTTTGGATTTGGCATTCCAGCCATTCGGTTTAAATCTGACTCCGTGACAGCGTTCAAAAAGGCAGAGCTCCAAAGCATTACAATGTATCGTCCCTATCCCTAAATTGGCTTTTGGTCCAAAATTGTGCCCTGGAACTTATGAACATTTGAACCGTAGGTTACCGTAGGTTTTTTGAATTCACCTGCCAAGGAGGAAATCGTGGAGGAAGAACCGGCTCAAGCCGCTCCGGTGCGGAGGGCGCCACCTCCAAAAGCTGCAGTGGCTGTAGAGGCAGGTGAAACTCAGAAGTGCAGCCTTTGATGCCTTGAATGTGATCTAGGAAGTCGTGGCTGAAAGCCTCTGGGATCGCCGGATAAAGGGCTGGCCACTGAGGAAGATGCAGAGAGATGGAGAAGGACAACAGGCAGGATATTCATGAACCGAGTGATGTGGCAACTTGTTCTCCAATTTCAAAGCCAAATCTTCATTGATTCTTGAAACTCCGAGACATGATATATGATACATGCATTGCTGCATGAATGTGCTGTGCCGTTTGAGCTCTCAGCAAGAAATATCGGTGGTCTGTCCGGACCTCCGCACGCTCTACTTGGATCTACTTGGCTGCATACTTTCAGCTTGCAATGGCCGCTTGGCAACACGAATTGGCGCTGAATGTTCAAATACGTAGTGGTGGACATCAACAATGTAAAAGTCAAAGATTCTGGCAAGTCGGTTCGTACTACCTCCCCAGTCCTTTCAAGCACAAGGATGCTTATACAGGTCTTATTTGATTTGCTCCTTCGTAATCTTTTCTGGTTGATGTGACCCAGCGCAGCGTGAAAACATGTACACTACCCAGGCGGCGGGTGAGGTGAGAAATGTGTCCATTAGAGTAGCTTTCTTGCAACTCCAACGCGCAGTCACTCCCGCACTTGCTTTTTGTTACGGGCATGCCCTCCAGCTCAACTGGGCTGCATGATCTTGTTTCTCCCAAAGGCTCCCCTCCTTCCCCGTCGAAACCGAAGCAAACCAACAAGAGTCAAGGTCAGCCTCCCTTCGTTCGTGTTGGCCGTGTCCGTTGCCATTGCTGCGGCAGCACCGGGAAGCTTCCGTGGTCACACGGTGGCTGTGGAGGAAGTGAAAGAGTCGTTGCAACAGACCATGCAGGCAATGCTGCAGGGTCAAGGTTCTATGTCCAAACAGTTGGAGGACATTGAGAAAAGCATTTGGCAAACCTACCAATCCTTGCCCAAAAATGAGGCTGGGCACATCAGTTCTCGAGCTGTGAGGTATTTGGTGCACAACTACTTCGCAAAGGAGCATGGATGGCTCATCAAGGGGTTGGAACCCCATGGTCATCAGGACAACATGTCGGAAGTCCATGAGGTGAGCATTTTGCAGGACAAGGCACCTTTGCTCGTGGAATCTCTTCTGGAAGCCCGGAGGAGCGACCGAGGCTTGTCACTAACGGAAACAATTGCCATGGTTGCCACATTGGAACGACTCATCGTGGATGAAGCCCCTGTTTTGTTGCAAGCCGCCTACACCTTGAACTCTCTTCGTCCAGAGGAACAGCTAACTGAGAAAAATCTTCATGAGGTCTTGACCTCCTACTTGGTGCTGTTTGAAATGGGTGGTAGAGCAGAGCTTGATAACCGTGAGATCCATCGTGTATTGAAAACCAAGGCAGCCTTGGCCGGTGGCAATTGGCCTTTGTTGGTGGAGTTTGAACAAGATGCAGTTCACAACTTTGGCTTCGCCCAAAGACATGTTAGAAATCCTTTCCAGACTGTCTTTTACTCATTCCAGGATGCACAAATGATCATTGAGGACCTAACTCGCGGATACGGAAAGTGGCAAAATACAGAGTGCCAGCAGATGAAACGTGAACTGATGGATCTCGACCCGGTTGGCATGGGCCGCGTTCCATTAGGCAAGTTTTACTCCCAACCTGAGAATGCAGAATATCACTTTACTGAAACCCAAGACTACTTGAGACAGGTCGGGGCATTGGAAGAGACCAAAGAAGCTGCCTACGTCCGCATTGCCAACTACATGACAGGGCCTTCCAATTGCATCGCATCGTCTTCCTACTACTCTGTCTGCTGCTTGAATGAGTGTGAAGTTCTGATGAATGAGCTTGAGAGCCATGTGTTGGCTCCATCAGCAAGCCCACAGCGCTTGTTGGGTTTGGCTCGCAACCTCTCTTCCGCCACTGTTGATGCTCCTCGTCAACTGCCCAACGTCATGGAAGAGAAACTGCACGCCATTGCAGCTCGTCATGACGGAGAAGTTCCGTTGCATGGTCGTCTCTTCGCCCAATGGATGCACCATGCCTTCCCCCACGAGTGCCCCTATCCGCACATCGCGGAAGACACCTCGATCTTGACTCCAACTCATTGGATGGACCAGAAAATCGTGGTGTCCAAAACGGAACGAGAGGAGCTGGTGGAGCTTTCTTCGGAGACACCGAAAGCGCCTGAAGACTTGGTACTGGATTGGTCAGAGGAGGAGGTGCTGGCTGCACATCAGACCCCCAAGTCCAAGAGCTTCTTGAGCCGCAGCTCTTTGGAAGCACTTCATGTCACGAAGTTGGATGGCCGAATGCTTACACATGCTTACATATGCTTACATATGCATACACGAGCTTATTAAAAAGTTGAAGGTTGGGAGAGGTCTGTGAGTTCATGGCAGTGTTTCACGAACTTGAAACATGTGGAATATAATCCGAAACTTCAACTTGTCCTAGAGCTAAAGCCGGCGAAACCGCAGAGCAAGACACTGAAACATACTGAAATCTTCTTTCATGCATCCTATCTCAGGTTTGCGCTTCGTTATGCAACTGGGATTGCTCCTTGGACTACTGCGCATGGTGCTGGGCAGCTTGATTGCAAAGATCGGATGCTGATGTCATGGTGAGGTTAGCATTTGGCCAACTTGGTGTACCTAGCAATGACCGAGGCAATTGGCAGCTCCTTGGCTTCTCCAGAGGTGGGAGTCTCAAGTCGAGATTCAAGCCATACACGCCATACACCATGAGAGGAGGGACACTTCATGACACTTTCCCACAAATTGGATCGGTGTTTTGGAGTGTCCAGCGTAGTATGACGATATGACCAAAATCCGTGGCATTGTGAGACGTTCGAATGGCTGTCTAAATACTGTAGCTCTTAGCATCTCTTAGCACTAGCGAAGCGCAGCAAGACTTTGCATGTCAGACTAACATCCGAAAAAAAGACTTCACAAAGCCTTCTGTCCTGGAAGGCAAGAAGACTGCGGACTTGCCTTTCTAAATCGGCGCAAGTGACGTCACGCTGCACTGTTCCGAGGAATAAACAGTGTGCAATTGCGGTGGCATCCTTTGACAGCTCGATCAGGGTGTGATAGGGTGTGCCTTTCATTTCTTACATGATCTTACATGTTTGCACTTCGAATCAGACATGTTTTGAGGACAATTCATCACGAAAATAAAGCAGTCCGAAGCATGTTGAAAACGACAAGGTGGACATTTGAAGAGGGCATTGTGATGAATTGTGCACGTGCTTACTCAGCCCAAGACTGTGCTCAAGAAACATCGGTAGTTCACACAGACTGCCGTAAGCCCTACTCTTCATACTTGAATCATGGAAGCTCGATTGCACTGCCGGGCTGGTGCAGAACACCCTTGTAGGCGGTAAAAAGCAACCGATATCGCGGTGTCATTCTCTTTCTTCAAAACATGGACAGATTTAGCTTGGGGAGGTGGACCAGGGAAGTTTGTGATGTGATGCAGCATGTATTCAGTATTTCCTGGCTATTGTTTGGACGTGTTTGGACCAGCTTTTTAGCTGCTAATCTTTAAAGACTGCAACGGCAGATCCGAATGGAGATGGACAGTCTAGCTGGTATTCATATTTGCTTCAGACTTTCCTGCACTTTCTAATTCAGCGAAAGTACAGCATGCCTTACTTTGTTTGATTTTACAATATTTTTTTTTGTGTGAAAGCAGTGTAGACGGCCGCAAATAAGAAGGCGTGATTCAAACTCAATCGTTGATACGGTTGAGCCAAGGTCAGCCTCCCTTCGTTCGTGTTGGCCGTGTCCGTTGCCGTTGCTTCGGCAGCACCGGGAAGCTTCCGTGGTCACGCGGTGGCTGTGGAGGAAGTGAAAGAGTCGTTGCAACAGACCATGCAGGCAATGCTGCAGGGTCAAGGTTCTATGTCCAAACAGTTGGAGGACATTGAGAAAAGCATTTGGCAAACCTACCAATCCTTGCCCAAAAATGAGGCTGGGCACATTGGTTCTCGAGCTGTGAGGTATTTGGTGCACAACTACTTCGCAAAGGAGCATGGATGGCTCATCAAGGGGTTGGAACCCCATGGTCATCAGGACAACATGTCGGAAGTCCATGAGGTGAGCATTTTGCAGGACAAGGCACCTTTGCTCGTGGAATCTCTTCTGGAAGCCCGGAGGAGCGACCGAGGCTTGTCACTGACAGATGCTGTGGCAATGATCGCTACCTTGGAAAGACTTATTGTGGATGAGGCGTCGACTTTGCTTCGAGTAGCCTACACTTTGAACTCATTCTCTTCCACTCAGGAATTACAGGAGTCGGAACTGCACGAAGTTCTCACTTCGTATCTTGTCCTCTTTGAAATGGGGCAGAAGGCCAATCTCAACAGCAAAGATGTACACCGAGCGCTAAAATCTCGGGCAGCCTCTGTTTCGCACAATTGGCCATTCCTGGTCGAGTTTGAATATGATGCTCTTCACAACTACCTCTTTGCCAGCAAAAACAAAAGGAATCCTTTTGTCCGTGAGAGTTTCGCATTTGAGGATGCACTTCGAATCGTGGAAACCTTGGCCGGTGGATATGGAAAATGGCAAAATGCAGAGTGCCAGCAAATGAAGAGTGAGCTGATGGACATGGATGAAGAAGGAAAAGGAATCATTCCGCTTCACAAGTTCTACTCTCAACCTGAGAATGCCGACTATCACTTCACTGAAAGTCAAGAGTACCTGGACAAGGTGGGTGCACTGCAGCAGACGGAGAGAGGCAATGCCTACGTCCGCATTGCCAACTACATGACAGGGCCTTCCAATTGCATCGCATCGTCTTCCTACTACTCTGTCTGCTGCTTGAATGAGTGTGAAGTTCTGATGAATGAGCTTGAGAGCCATGTGTTGGCTCCATCAGCAAGCCCAGAGCGCTTGTTGGGTTTGGCTCGCAACCTCTCTTCAGCCACTGTTGATGCTCCTCGTCAACTGCCCAACGTCATGGAAGAGAAACTGCTCGCCATTGCAGCTCGTCATGATGGAGAAGTTCCGTTGCATGGTCGTCTCTTCGCCCAATGGATGCACCATGCCTTCCCCCACGAGTGCCCCTATCCGCACATCGCGGAAGACAAAGCCGTGTTGGTCCCCGACCACTGGCAGAACGGCAAAGCAACCGTCTCCAAGATTGAGAGAGCCGAGCTGGCTGAAGCTCACACGCCGGTCCTTATTGTCGAAAATAATCAGAACCTGTCCTGGTCCGAGGAAGAATTGGTGGTGGTAAAGGAACAACCCAAGCTGGCCAATGGCAACTTGACTCTTGAAGAATGCAGCTGCGAGTTGTTTGAAGGGGCTGCGAGGTTGTGTAATTTTGTGTAGAGCGATTTAGTCAAGCTGTCAACTTGAAAGGCTGGTAAATGGCAACTGATGCAATTGATGGCAAATGATGGCAAATGATGGCAAATGATGGCAAACTTTCAAGTGGACTTTCTCTGGGTCATGTCATGGTCAGGTCACACCTTGGCTCACGTTGGAACTTCACAGTTTTTCCTTTTGCCCGATCCTGAGGCAAGGTGCGGCTGATGATGCAGTTTGCCCTGGTTTTGGGCCTCCTTCATACGATCCTGCGCAGCTGCAAGACCATGACTTTTACAGACACAGGTGCTTTGGCAGAACAGATAGACCAGAACAAACATAATAAACATAGAGACTCATTAGAGATCATTACAGACTCTCTGAAACAGGGGAACACCTGGACTGAGATTTGATATGTGTTGATGATTTTCAGAGCTAGCTCACCGAGCCAGTGACTAGAATCCTCTGCTGTTTTGAATGTGAGGTCTCCGGCTGTGCTTAAGAATAAGATGTGAATAGTTGATGGATGTTGATGGTGAATCTTAGTGTAGGGATGGTCTTGAAATGTCTTGAATCGGTTTTGCTGTCGGCCATCCACTTTCGTGAAACTTGATCATGCCTCTCTTGCTGGGGTCACATGTGTTAGCGGTCAAGAATGGAGTGTGGCCACTAAGTGGTCACTATCAGAACCAAGCAACCTCAAGTTGACCTCTGGTGGCTAAGGCAAATCTGGATTGGAGCTTCCATTCTGAGAGCCAGTGACCAGACGTGGATGGGTCAAAAATGGTCAAAATAGGAGATTCGTGAACAGATGTTTATCAAATCTTTTTGGACTCAACTGCCCAAGTCTTGGTGTGTCAAACTTTGACCCACGGAGAAGTAGAGGAGAAGCCTGAGACCACAGAAATGCGGATGCGAGAAAGCAAAGAAGGGTGCCAGGGCGATTCGACGATTAGAATGGATCAGGACTTTTGTGAACTGTTTGCCAAGTACCGCAGGCCCCAGCAACCCTTTGGAAGAACTTCGAAAACTCAAATTCTGGCCAAAGGCCGGGATCTGGTTCCATTGAGTTCATACTGATGTATGATGATGTATGATGATGTATGATGATGTATGATGATGTATGATGTATACAAAACATGGAGATTCTGACCCGAGGACAACAAATCTTGGGGAGCTCTGCAGGACAACTTGAGTTTTCTGAGAGCAAGCGACTCCTGAGTCATGCATGTCTCCTTCCTGGAAGCCTTTTTGTGAAGGAGCAAGTTTGGCGTGGTCACCCACCCTTACTTCCAGGCTGGCAACTGCTTTCTTTCCTTTCTGATTCATTTCTTCTCAATTTGGAGACCTCCAGAGTTTGGTTGCAATCCATCTTTCCTTCTGTGAAGGCTGGATTCGTGTATGGTCTCGTGCCAAGGCCGGAAATGCAAGAGAATGCAAGTAGATATCAATCGAAAGCAAGACACTGCTGTTGGAAGAAGCATGTTACTTAGGAGGACCTGTCAGTCTGCTTCGTTCTCTTGAATTTGTGCAGGACCAAGAGTGCTTTGTGAATATGAGCAGTGGTGAGACGACTTTTGACTTCAAAACAGCAGCAGGATAAGAAGGTACGGATGTGCTTGAGTCACCGGGGTCAGAGAACGCTAAAAAATCAATTTGATGCTGTGTGATTCTGGCCGCTCTTGCCGTCAGTTGGGACACAATATTTGCCAGTTGGTAGAGGTTGCCTTTCTTTTCAAAGCCAAATCTTGATGGATTCCGATTCCTGAAGTTTCAGAGACATGATATGCATGAATGTGCTGTCCTGTTTGAGCTCTCAGCAAGAAACATCGGTGGTCTGTCCGGACCTCCGCACGCTCTACTTGGATCTACTTGGCTGCATACTTTCAGCTTGCAATGGCCGCTTGGCAACACGAATTGATACATAGTGGTGGACAGCAACAAGGTAAACATCGAAAATTGTGGCAAGTCGGTTTGTACACCTTCCTTCCAAAGGAGTCCTTTCACGCACAAGCCGTTCGGGTTTGTTTCCATGTGCATTATTTTGAATCATGCTACACAGAGCAAAAGGGAGTGTTTCCGCCTGTGCAGCTTGCACACGTGTGTGATTTTTGCGGTCCATGATGGGGGTGGGTTGGGGAATGCGCCCGTTATCTTGCATTCTCGCGACGGACACAGAGAGTCTTCATGTTAGGCTGGGCCTGCCATTTCCTAGCGAAAGCCACCAAAAGATCTGAAAAGAACCTCTACTCGAACCCACAACTTTCCTCTGTATACATGAGATAGCTTTTTGCAAAGAGATTGCGATCTACAGTCGACTCCTTACAACTGCAGTCAAGAAATGCACGCCGACTATATATTCCTGAATAATGATTCAAAATGCAACCAAGCAGTTTTGAGTAGTATACATGAGAATACATCGAAACTAGATGAAACCATTGAAAAGCCCTGCAGCTTAGCTGGGCAACAAGAGCCGAGGTCAGCCTCCCTTCGTTCGTGTTGGCCGTGTCCGTTGCCGTTGCTTCGGCAGCACCGGGAAGCTTCCGTGGTCACGCGGTGGCTGTGGAGGAAGTGAAAGAGTCGTTGCAACAGACCATGCAGGCAATGCTGCAGGGTCAAGGTTCTATGTCCAAACAGTTGGAGGACATTGAGAAAAGCATTTGGCAAACCTACCAATCCTTGCCCAAAAATGAGGCTGGGCACATTGGTTCTCGAGCTGTGAGGTATTTGGTGCACAACTACTTCGCAAAGGAGCATGGATGGCTCATCAAGGGGTTGGAACCCCATGGTCATCAGGACAACATGTCGGAAGTCCATGAGGTGAGCATTTTGCAGGACAAGGCACCTTTGCTCGTGGAATCTCTTCTGGAAGCCCGGAGGAGCGACCGAGGCTTGTCACTGACAGATGCTGTGGCAATGATCGCTACCTTGGAAAGACTTATTGTGGATGAGGCGTCGACTTTGCTTCGAGTAGCCTACACTTTGAACTCATTCTCTTCCACTCAGGAATTACAGGAGTCGGAACTGCACGAAGTTCTCACTTCGTATCTTGTCCTCTTTGAAATGGGGCAGAAGGCCAATCTCAACAGCAAAGATGTACACCGAGCGCTAAAATCTCGGGCAGCCTCTGTTTCGCACAATTGGCCATTCCTGGTCGAGTTTGAATATGATGCTCTTCACAACTACCTCTTTGCCAGCAAAAACAAAAGGAATCCTTTTGTCCGTGAGAGTTTCGCATTTGAGGATGCACTTCGAATCGTGGAAACCTTGGCCGGTGGATATGGAAAATGGCAAAATGCAGAGTGCCAGCAAATGAAGAGTGAGCTGATGGACATGGATGAAGAAGGAAAAGGAATCATTCCGCTTCACAAGTTCTACTCTCAACCTGAGAATGCCGACTATCACTTCACTGAAAGTCAAGAGTACCTGGACAAGGTGGGTGCACTGCAGCAGACGGAGAGAGGCATGCCTACGTCCGCATTGCCAACTACATGACAGGGCCTTCCAATTGCATCGCATCGTCTTCCTACTACTCTGTCTGCTGCTTGAATGAGTGTGAAGTTCTGATGAATGAGCTTGAGAGCCATGTGTTGGCTCCATCAGCAAGCCCAGAGCGCTTGTTGGGTTTGGCTCGCAACCTCTCTTCAGCCACTGTTGATGCTCCTCGTCAACTGCCCAACGTCATGGAAGAGAAACTGCTCGCCATTGCAGCTCGTCATGATGGAGAAGTTCCGTTGCATGGTCGTCTCTTCGCCCAATGGATGCACCATGCCTTCCCCCACGAGTGCCCCTATCCGCACATCGCGGAAGACAAAGCCGTGTTGGTCCCCGACCACTGGCAGAACGGCAAAGCAACCGTCTCCAAGATTGAGAGAGCCGAGCTGGCTGAAGCTCACACGCCGGTCCTTATTGTCGAAAATAATCAGAACCTGTCCTGGTCCGAGGAAGAATTGGTGGTGGTAAAGGAACAACCCAAGCTGGTCAATGGCAACTTGACTCTTGAAGAATGCAGCTGCGAGTTGTTTGAAGGGGCTGCGAGGTTGTGTAATTTTGTGTAGAGCGATTTAGTCAAGCTGTCAACTTGAAAGGCTGGTAAATGGCAACTGATGCAATTGATGGCAAATGATGGCAAATGATGGCAAATGATGGCAAATGATGGCAAACTTTCAAGTGGACTTTCTCTGGGTCATGTCATGGTCAGGTCACACCTTGGCTCACGTTGGAACTTCACAGTTTTTCCTTTTGCCCCGATCCTGAGGCAAGGTGCGGCTGATGATGCAGTTTGCCCTCGTTTTGGGCCTCCTTCATACGATCCTGCGCAGCTGCAAGACCATGACTTTTACAGACACAGGTGCTTTGGCAGAACAGATAGACCAGAACAATCCAGAACAAACATAGAGACTCATTAGAGATCATTACAGACTCTCTGAAACAGGGGAACACCTGGACTGAGATTTGATATGTTTTGATGATCAGAGCTAGCTCACCGAGCCAGTGACTAGAATCCTCTGCTGTTTTGAATGTGAGGTCTCCGGCTGTGCTTAAGAATAAGATGTGAATAGTTGATGGATGTTGATGGTGAATCTTAGTGTAGGGATGGTCTTGAAATGTCTTGAATCGGTTTTGCTGTCGGCCATCCACTTTCGTGAAACTTGATCATGCCTCTCTTGTTGGGGTCACATGTGTTAGCGGTCAAGAATGGAGTGTGGCCACTAAGTGGTCACTATCAGAACCAAGCAACCTCAAGTTGACCTCTGGTGGCTAAGGCAAATCTGGATTGGAGCTTCCATTCTGAGAGCCAGTGACCAGACGTGGATGGGTCAAAAATGGTCAAAATAGGAGATTCGTGAACAGATGTTTATCAAATCTTTTTGGACTCAACTGCCCAAGTCTTGGTGTGTCAAACTTTGACCCACGGAGAAGTAGAGGAGAAGCCTGAGACCACAGAAATGCGGATGCGAGAAAGCAAAGAAGGGTGCCAGGGCGATTCGACGATTAGAATGGATCAGGACTTTTGTGAACTGTTTGCCAAGTACCGCAGGCCCCAGCAACCCTTTGGAAGAACTTCGAAAACTCAAATTCTGGCCAAAGGCCGGGATCTGGTTCCATTGAGTTCATACTGATGTATGATGATGTATGATGATGTATGATGTATACAAAACATGGAGATTCTGACCCGAGGACAACAAATCTTGGGGAGCTCTGCAGGACAACTTGAGTTTTCTGAGAGCAAGCGACTCCTGAGTCATGCATGTCTCCTTCCTGGAAGCCTTTTTGTGAAGGAGCAAGTTTGGCGTGGTCACCCACCCTTACTTCCAGGCTGGCAACTGCTTTCTTTCCTTTCTGATTCATTTCTTCTCAATTTGGAGACCTCCAGAGTTTGGTTGCAATCCATCTTTCCTTCTGTGAAGGCTGGATTCGTGTATGGTCTCGTGCCAAGGCCGGAAATGCAAGAGAATGCAAGTAGATATCAATCGAAAGCAAGACACTGCTGTTGGAAGAAGCATGTTACTTAGGAGGACCTGTCAGTCTGCTTCGTTCTCTTGAATTTGTGCAGGACCAAGAGTGCTTTGTGAATATGAGCAGTGGTGAGACGACTTTTGACTCCCAAACAGCAGCAGGATGAAAAGGTACGGATGTGCTTGAGTCACCTAAACAACTTGAGATTTGCGATCAAATCTGCTGGAACTAGAGCATGTTTTTTTCTTGATCCCAAAGTTATAGACATGATCGTAGCATGTTCCGTAGCCACGGCATTGTCAAGTCTAGCAGCAAGTGCTTCACTGGCACCTGCCAGACGGACAGTTCTAGCCTGAGAATCTGCCACAATCAACTGACAACATTTTGACGACATTTGTCCGGGTGGTTTTTTGCTTTGTCGACATGTCGGCCATGTTGTCTCGGGTTCTGACACGCAGTGCCCGCCGTTGAGAGCTCAGCAACGTTGCACATTGCACCCTTGCGTCTCACGTCCTCCAAGGATCATAGGACACCGCTGCCATGAGGGGAACGAATCACGCAGAAACCATCAGAAACCACTGTCATTCCTGTCATTCCTGTTATTCTTCAAGTTGAGGCATCACCAGCCTTGGCGAGACCAAAGCAGTGATGTAGCAGCCTCAGCCACAAAAGATGCAAAGGACAGATTACAGATTTCTTGTTTCGAAGGTCACGTCAATGGATGCCTGCCGTGGTCTGGTGCTCAGAACATGGACGATTCATAAATCATCATGCAATATCAGATTGATACAATATCAGTATATCATCTATCAATTGTCAATAATTTTAGATAGATATATAATATAATTATACAATTGATATATATATATATGTATATGTATGATATGTCTAATGATATAATTATCTGATATATTTACAGTGGTTCTTCCAAACATCACAGACTCGGATGCATTGCCAGGCTTGCCGCAGCTTCGGAGCAGGGGGTGATCCCCGAGCTCATTTGAATCCTGACGGAACAAGGCCAGGCTTTACACTTGTGATCAACAAATCCAAGAATGGGACATGATATGGTATGATCTGCATCTATGTAATTCTATATGATTACATTAATAAATATATAATTGTATAACATGTATATGTGTAGTTTGTTAATGTTATATAATCATATATGCATATATATATATATACATCTATACACACCTGCAATACTACAGTTTCACTGTGGATTTACAATGACATAAATTTCTTGGAAAGACATCGCAGCTACTAGCATGCAAAAGCCAGGCCAGAGCCCGAGGATATCGAGGATTACCATGACCCAGATCCGATGGATCATTCTCCACGCATGAAGTTGGTGAAGGACCTGCGGGTATTTTTTACCGGTAAGGGTACTGAGTGCATCTGAGTGCATCTGAGTGCTGTGTCCATGGTAACTCGGTAACTTTGACTCCAAACCATCCAAACCCTTCACATAACGTGCAGGAGCGTGGCCAGACATTTGCCCTGGGCCTAGATGCAGATGGGTCAGATGGGTCAAATGTGAAATTTTCGCAACTCGCGAATTTCTGCGAATTTGGCTATTTCTTTTGGTAAAACATCCCAAATCTTTCCCATTTTATAGTGAGAAATTTATAGTATACCGCAACGAATTTTTGACCCATACCCAGCGGATCCAGACGCAGATGGGTCCAGTTTGTGCAGTTGTGGCACATGCTTGGAGCTATGCAGAAGTTCCAGGTGGTGTCGCAAGATCCGCCCAAGCCCATTGCGGAGCTTTACGGCACCCACCAGGACGTGTCACGGCAGGACATCATCAAGGCTTGTATTATAGGTTTTGTGGGTATTATTGCAACCCATAATAGAGACTGAGATAGCTATCAATTAAGCAGTATAATGTGATGGGATAGGGGTATTTTCCATGGCTCAGATTGTGTTTTTCTTTTTCGCAACTGTTTTTGTTGTGCAGGAACATGTTCCTCACTACCCTCGCGGACGTTTGCTTCTGAAGGGAAACTACAAGTTGACCATGAAGGTGGTTGACCATGAAAAGTTGCCACTTTACCTTCTGGATCATCTACTGGCGAGTGTTCTTTGCAATCCAAAAGATGGCAGGCCGAGTACCTTTTCTTCTACATCCCAACAACTATCATCCTTGGCCTTTGCATTCCAGCGTGGAGCTCAGTGCCCAACTTTGAGCACTGTGTCAGACTGTGTCAGACTGTGTCAGACTGTGTCAGACTGTGTCAGACCAGATCCCCTCGATAGAGGGATGGGG